GAATAAAGGAAGAGCCATACAGAGATATTAATACAGCGGGGGTAGTAGTGGTGCAAATACGAGAGCGCGCAACCAAAAAAAAAAAAAAAAATCTCAGACGCTGCAGTAACCCACCACCAAGAAAAACACCAACGCCCATCTAACAACGCTTCCCCTGAACGCCGACCTTGTCTCCCAAGTGCAACCCCGGTCGTGGGATTAAATTAGAGATAGGTCATGAATCATGATACCCGAGCCGAAACACCATTTGGGGGTATATGTAGCGACCGTCTAGAAGATGAAGTAGTCTCTCCGGGAATGCGATCAAACAAACCAGCCGGGGGAGAGAAGGAACCGCAAACACGACGCGGAAGCGGGATATCTCAAAAGAGGAAAATGGACCAAGACAGCCGCGCAATAGACAAATGGAAAAAATGGTAGGAACGAAGGTAGGCCGACGCCCGCTCACATGTCGTCAGGCGAGGGCTGGTCGCGCTCGCCCTTGTGGACCTTCCTGTGTCGCCTCAGATTCGAAACGACGGAAAAGTGACGGCCGCATCCCTCGACCTCACAAGCGAATGCTACGTTGTGCGTTAGTTGCAAGTTGATTGTGCACGGGGTCGCGGGCATGACTCACGCTTTTCGCCCGTGTGGCTATACATGTGGGTCTGGAGGGAGCTCGGACGCGTGAAGCGCTTGTCGCACACCTTGCACTTGTGCTTCTTCTGCGAGCTCGACGAGACCTTGCTGCTGAACTGGCCCATCATGGACTGGGGCGCAGGGGGCAGGTTGGTACCGACGAGGGCCGACGGCCGGGGGAGGGTGCGCGAGGACATGTCGCCCACCGACTCGGAGGCAGAGCTGTAGTCGGTGACGGATGAGTCGCCGACGGAGCCGTTGTAGTAGGAGGGGTAGGTGCTGGCCGAGGAGATGGACGAGTGCGCCGAGTGGGTGGCGGGGAAGCCGTACGAGTCGGTCGAGCTGCGCGGGTTCTGGTTGCCGTAGATGTTCCTGGGGGTGATGTCCTGGCTCATGGCGACCATGCCGCGGCTGGCGTCCAGAGCATCGCTGAAGCTGCTGCGTTGAGCCTGTTCAGAGTTCATCCTGTTGTTTGGGTCAGCCAGTGAGCTCTGGCGATGCCTGGAAGCGTCGATGGAGGCGCCCAGGAAAGTAGTGGAGGGTACTGACGGATGCGAAGAGCGGCGGGCGGCCATGTCCTGCTGGTAGGGGTAGGAGGGAGTCCGGTTGCTGTAGTCCATGGAGTACTGGGGCGCAGAGGTGGGCGCGTACGAAGGGGTGGTAGGGGAAGCGGACGTGGCGTAGGCGGTTCCGTAAGGCCTCGAGGAGCCCAAGAGATCTTGCGACATGGCTAGTGAGTTTGTGGGCTCGTAGATTCCTTGTGAGAGTGCAATACCTGCTCCTAATGACGTGGGCGCGCTGACGGGGATGGTCGCGTACGGCATGGAGACGGCAGTGGGGCGGGCGGGCTGCTGGTGTGCCGTCGAGACGAGGGCGGTGGTGTTGGAGCCAAGGGTGGTGGCGTAGAGCTGGGGCGCGGGGGCAGGCGCCGAGGCCCAAGGGTTGGTGAAGTGAGGAGCGAAGCGCATGGTCGAATCAAAGCCCAGGCCGCTGACCTGAGGCTGTTGCCGGTTGTCGACTGCCATAGCCATGGTTTGAGAGAGGGTTGGAAGTAAGGGTCCAGAGATGATGAGGTGAAAGCAGAGTGGTGGGCGGGTGGGCGGCTAAGAAGGAAGTGTTTGGCGCTGTGTAGCAGGCTGAAACACGGCTCCAGTAGGGTTCGCGAAACGTGGAGGAAGACGATCACTTGCGACAAAAGATACGCGGGATCAGCGGGTCTTTCTGAAGGCAAGTGATGGACGGGCCGATCGCGTTAAGGTTTTGCGAAGGGGATTGGGGTTTCGAGGGACAAAGGGAGCAATGATGCGAAGTAGGCGTCGAGATGATCGAGTACTTAACAACGAGTAGCCTGGGGCGGGTTTGATTGTACGCGCACGCGAGGCAAGAAGAGTGCAGATCGGGGGAGAGAGGGGGTCGACAGTGCGGGCCGTTTGGAGATGATATGTGGTTGGAGAGGGCTTGGGCGATGACATAGTGGCAGGGGGAGAGAGTCGGCGCGCTGCGGGGACCCTGCTGCAAAGGGCGGCAGGGATTGGGGCTGAGAGGCTTTGTGTGGGGGAGACAAAGGCCGACGCAGAGGGTGAATTGGCTGTGGGGCCTGTCAGATGCTTGGGGCCTAGCGCCGCCGCAACCAGCGCGCGCGCAATAAATCTCCGTCATGGCCGATGCCGCCGTTTGATCGCTGCTGGCCGCGCAACGCCTCATCAGAAAAAAGTAGCGCCGAAGAAGCTTCGTCATGTGTCGGCTGCTGCTCTCCCGGCCCTGCGCGATGACGCCACTGCCTGCAGCACCATGACGTAGTATTAGAGCTCTCTCGACTAATAACCACCACCGCGGGTTGCTAGGAGCCAGTGTATCGTGTATGGTTGTATGGTTGTCGTCCGTGATCGTGGTTGTTGGTCGTGGCAGTCGTGGTCCTGGTCGTGATTCCAGCTGGTCCCTCGCCGCCCGTTGCTCCTTCCCTGCTGGCATTGGCATTGCTTTCCCAATCATATGGTATCCATGCTTAGTAGTACCCTAACTACCTAGGGTTCCTGCTGTAGGTAGGCTCTTTCTGCGCGCGCGGCTCAAAACGGTCTTGCCCACCCCTCCCCGAGTCATGCAGCGCAAATTCGCGCGGCCCTGGCGTGATTGGGCCTAGCGAGTCAGCGACCGCCATCCGCAGGCAGGTCAACCGGCTGCCGGTGGGTCAAACGGTCGGACGCCTTTTTCCTGGCGGTGCTTGTGTGCTTGTGTGCTTGTGTGCTTGTGCTTTTTGAGCTTGAGCTTTTTGCTGGTGTTGGCTGCTGCTGGCTGCTGCACCCCGCCGCCGCTGCTACTAGCTTCCCTCACACCCCCCCTCCCTCCTAAGCACACCTTCTCGGCTATCTCTCGACGGCGCCCTGGGCCGTGCCGGATGTGCCAAAAGGTATCCGCCACGCCGGTCAGCTCTCTCTGGTGCTCTGTCCCATCCGTCCGCGTGACAGACGGGCAAACCCTGGCCCAATAGCCCAATGCTGCTACACCATCTCTCAGCGCTAGCAATGCTTGGCTCGATGGGACGCGTAAACCCTGTCACCTCAGGGAGCTTCGGGTGGCGCTTTAGCAAAACGCCCAAATTTCGCTTTAGCGCGTTTGGCCTGTCTTTGCAGAGGCTTGCCGGGCGGAAAGGGCAATCCCAAGCCCCCACACACGCCGACTTGGGAAGAGTCATGCACGCGACTCAGGGCCATTATCGCATTTGCTGCGTCCATTAGCTGCCAAAAGAGAAAAGGCAAGTCACCGTGCGGCGAATCGGTCCGGGGGGCCATGTGAGCTCCAGTGGCTCCCTTTTCCCCGCTGTTGGCTGTGCGCTGGCTTCAACCAGCTCACAACTCGGAGAATGCGGAGAGCTTCCCGGCCATGGCCACCCGCGTCCCTCTGCTCGTCCGCTTTGAGAACGGGTCAGGGGAAATTGGTCGTTATGTGAATGCCGTATCCGCCTCTCCGATTACTGAACTCGTCCGCGCGCTGGAAGGGGCTGAGCTGCCTGCCCCGAATGCTGCCCGCCGCCGTCGTCGTCGCTGTCGCCCTCCCCCCTCCTCCTGTTGTGGTCGCTGCTGCTGCTACTGCTCCTTCGTTCGGCGCATAGGTAGGTAATAGTAAGGAATGTGGACTGCCCGCCACCTGGGTCCAAGTAAAGAAGAAACACCACAGTAGCTGCAGTAAAAAAAAGAAAGACAAAAAAAATTCTAAAAGCCCCATCGTCACCGTGTCTCACTTTCCCATCGTCTGTATATATATGCAACCATCCATACGGTCGCAGATCAACCACACACCCCCCCCCCCCTTCAAGCCACTGTGGCGGCGGCCGACCACCAACCGCCCATCAACCCATTGTTCCCTGCGTCTTCCAGAACCACCAACAAGAGCCCCAGGCAGGCGGGAACGGACGTTGATTTTGGCTCAGAAACAGAGCTCTGACAGCTTAACCGGCGGGCTGGAATGCCGCAACCCAGTCCGCTGCAAGGTCGGTCGTGTCTATCAACGGGTCTAGAACGCGTCTGCGAGACATCGCGATGCACGACGGCCTACGCTACAAGGCATGGATCTACAGCAACCCGCGAAAAAAATAAAATAAAAATGAATAAAAATAAAAAAGTAAAAAAGAGCTCACAAAAAACAAAAATAAAACAGTCGCAAGAGAAAAGAAATGCGGGAAGGGTTTGTTGATCAGCCGTGCAGAGCGGCGCTGCTTCCTTCCCCAATAGATCATGATGATAGTCGTCCCCCATCGCACATCTCCCGCACATGGATCGTCATTCATCAGCACCACCTACCATCGCCGCGCTCGAAGGATCGATGGGTGTGCCACAGTTTACGCCTGCTCGAGCGAGTGAGTGCCACCACACACACCCCACACCCAAACCCACCCAATGCCCCCTTCCGCCCCGCCTCCCTCTCTCCCTTTGCACATCCACGGGTGAATCCACTGCGCCGTCCGATCAATCGACGAACCCTTACCTCGAGAGTTTACCCGCGCCCGCCCGCGCTCGCTCCCGCTCGTCCATCAATCACGCCGTCCCCGTCTCCCGTCCCTCACTCCGCCGCCGTCGCCACAGATTGACACGGGGGTGGCATGGAGGCAGTGTTGGCGGGGCGCGCGCACTCGTCCGTACCGGCGGGGACCAACAACGACTGATCCACCTCTTCGGGCGGCTAGCTAAGCGGAATGCGGGGACCGGAGAGGGGGGGAGCGATTGGCGAGACGGAGCGTGTATGGACTTGACGAGCAACAGGAAAGAGCGTGTGAGAAGTGATCAGGCCACTGTGTAGCACTGGCGTCCGCCCGCGGCGGGAGCGGCCGTTGAAACAAACGGCCTTCGTCGTGGTGGGGGAGGGGCGGCGCGCGCGCGGCAAGCACGGCACCACCCGCCTGCGTGGTCTACGTACGGACGTATCGATCAGAGAAGGTCGCCGCGGCCTCAATTGAGGACGCTGGCATCAGTGCGTCCCCGACTGCTCTGCACTGCGGGGAATGCCGCTGGCTGCTGCCTTTTGGGCTGAATATAAGGTTTGGAAATCGTGCTGTGGCGTTGCCGCGCGTCGGAGGCGTTTGGATGGCCGGACGAGGCGCAACATGGGCTGATGAATCGAAGTGCTGGCTTATATCCACTCGCCTGTCAACCCTGTTTACCAAGAACTTGACTATACAACCATATATCGCATTCCTCTTCTGACGCGCCGAACTGATGCAACTAATACATGAATTCACTCTTTCAACACTCCCCGACTGCGAAATTCCCAACCGATATACAACACCGTCTATCCCATCCAACCCGACTTTTTCGAACACCATCTACGCCACATCCACAAACGCTCTCTTCTTCTTCCCCTTACTGCCCGCCGCGCCGTCCAGCGCCTCCTCGACATCCTCCAGCCTCGCAGCGCCGCTACTCTGCGCCCGGGCACCCACAAACTTGAGCGCCGCGGCATTGAAGCCCATCATGTCCTTCTGGCCGCCGAGCGTGGTCCTGAGTTCCTCACGCATTCTCTCGAGTGTCGTCTTCAGCTCGCGGCTGGCGACAATCTGGCGCTGATGCGTGCGCAGCATAAAGAACAGCACTCGGCACACCAGCGGCACATTCCATTGGCGTCGTACCCAGATGCTGATGAATGTGAACAGACCCGGCACCGTGCTGAAGGGCAGCACCAACAACGCATCGTGCAGCTGCGCCGCTGGGATCTTGGCTATCGTGTTCAGGACGTGCCGCTCTGCGCTGATGTTGCCCAACGCCATGAACAGCGGCTCGCGCTGCGGTGGCGCCATCTTGGCCTCAGGGTTCGCCGCTCTGTGCAATTTCCATGCGTTCACCACCTCCAAGTCCGCCAGGCCAAGCTCCAGGGCCTCGACGATGCGTTCTCCTGCCGTGAGCGTCGTGATGGTCTGCTTTGTCGCTTCTCCCACCTCGTTCTTCTCACCGTCTGCGCCCTCGGCGTCTGCATCCAATGATGTAGCAAGTGTCGATTCGTACAATTCTTCAAGTTCGCGCTCGCGCTCTTCCTCGAGGAAGATGGGCTCGTCGCTCTGGTTCCACACCCGAATGCTCTTATCGTGTGAAGCAGTAACGAAGAAGTCGCCTGTCTGACTGACAGCCATAGCCCAAATCTCGCCGTGATGACCCTCGAGTTTCTGGATCTGTTCAAACTTGTCGCCGTCCCAGGTCTTGATGGTGCGATCTTTGGACGCACTGAAGAAGAAATGGTTGTCTTCTTTTGAAATCGGATGCGGGATGAAAGACACCTGCATAATGCTGTCGCTGTGCGCAAAAAAGGACTTGTGGCAGTCGCCGAAATCAAGACCCCAAAGACGTACATTCTTGTCTGCACTGCAGGTAGCAATGAGCTTGCTATCGGCGGATATAGACATGTTGAGGACAGGGAGCTTGTGGCCGTAAAGATTAAGGAAGAGCTTGAGAGAGTCCACAAAGAAAACCTTGACGGTATTGTCAAGAGTTGCAACGGCGAGCAGGCGGGAATCGGAAGAGAAACATAAACTGAGGATGTCGTCGTTGACCTTCAACGTCCGGGAGTGGATGAGCTTGAGCCGAGGAGTCGTACGCTTAGTGCCTGGAATTTCTTCTTGCACGATCTCGAAGTTCCAAAATTTCGCTGTCTTGTCAGCACTTCCGGTTACAACTGACCGCCCGTCTGGATGAGCATCCAACGTCCATATCGCTCCCTCATGTGCCTGAACCGTGTCAATGAGCTGTGATGAAGCGATGTCGAAAAGTTCGAGTTCGCCGCTCTTGGTGCCAACGACAACGATCTTATCTCCTGGCAAGAATGAACAGCAGAGCGCATAACCGCACTCCAATGTACGCAAGCAGGTCCGCGTCCTGACGTTCCAGATTTTCAAGCTTCCACTAGATGCCGAAGCCAACATCCGGTCATCGGAGCTAAGGGCCAGCGAACGTACATCCGCACGATGTCCTGGTAGATCCACGGAGTAGGTACGAGTGTATTCCGGCGTTTCTTCCTTGGTGGCTTTTTTCGTCGCCGCCTTGCTAGGAACGCTGTAGTCCTCGAGCAGGTTGTTTGTCGTTGAGACCAGCAGCTGTAGAGACTTGGACTTGCTAGCCGTCCAGTCAATGGACCGAACTTTGCCTCCGGTGCGGACAATGACATAGGATACGAAAATGTCGGAAATGGTTGCCTCCATGTTCTCGTCTTCGCCATCGACCATGTCCACATCATCGGCTTTCGTTGCGGCTTTCTCTCTCCTCCTCCTACGCTTCCTTGCCAGACTCTTTTGCACCTCTTCCTCTGGTCGTATCCGCCAGATCTCTACTGCCTTTTCCGAGCCGTGTATCGCAACGTAATCTTGCTTGGGATGGAAAGCGATGCCTATCGTCCTGTCCTTGCCTTGTCGGTAAAACGTGCCCCTGTCTTGCAAGAACTGCACTTCCACTGTGTCGCCAACTTGTCGAGACATCGTACGGAGACCCTTTTGATCGATAGCCCAAACCTTGATCTCGCCATCGTTGCCCGCGGTGATACACCCGCTGCCGTCTGGCGACATGCCTAATGCCCAGCATTCTCCATTGGCCTGCGCTACGTGAGTCTCTATGCAGTGCTGCGAATTGACATCCCAGATTTTAATGAGTGAGTCCTTGCTAGTCGAAAGGAGGAAGACCGGCGCGTCCTCTCCCACGGAGAGTACCGTGGTTTCATCGTCTTCTGCCTCAGCCTCATTGGACAGTGCAATGAATTTAAGACCGGTGATCTGGTCCTTGTGGCCTCTAAGCTTGAACAGGCCAACTTCTGCCACCAAGTCCCATACGATAATGTCCGTATCTCGCGAACCACTGGCAAGGCGGACTCCAGAATCGTCGAAGGTGAGAGTCGTGATCGCGGACTTGTGGCCGTTGAAGCTGATAATCAGGGAAGATATCCGAGAATCCCAGACTCTGATGCTTCCGTCTCCGTGTCCAACGGCGAAAACATCGGGATCCGTCTTGCTCTGCGCAATGGTCGTGACTTCAGCGGTACAGGCCTTGTCGTGCCATCTGCTGAGCAGGTCGCCCTTCTTGACGTCCCAACAAAGAACCTCCTCGTTCGCACCGACATAGGCGTGGCCGGCGCCGGTGGTGCGGCTGGCGGCATCGGGTGTCCATACAACGTTCGAAGATGCCGAGTTCACGACACCAAAGGTCTGGGAGTGCTCATATTTCCTGGTAGAGCGTGTCAGAGTTATGCGACTGCACTGCGCCGGCTTTCGGGTACTCACACGTATGATTTGACCATTTTTCGAGCTTAAGGCGAGACAGCTGCGGCGCGTCTCGAAAAAAGTTCAGAGTCGCGGAGATCGCCAGCCCTTGTTCCCCACATTGCTTGGCACGTCCGCCGACGCCGACCGCCGCCGCCCTGTTGACGACTGCCTGGCTCGACATCATCCTGCAATCCCATCTGCAACACCAGATCCCCGCCGAAACCACCCACCATGCTGCTCCTGGACTACCAGAACGTGTTGATCGAGTCGTTGCTGAACGACAGGCTGTCTGGGTACGCCTGCCCCTCTCAATGCACCACCGAACCCCCCCCCCCCCATGACACCATCGGGCACAGCTGGCCAGTAGCTAATAATACCTAGAGCTCCTCCGGCCTCCATCGACCAAATAGCCTCCGACTTCGACGGCGTCACCTTCCACATCTCCACCCCCGAGGCCAAGACCAAGATTCTCATTTCGATATCTATCAAATGCTTCCCCGATCTTGTCAAGTACGGAGCTCAGGAGGTGTTGGAGCGCGAATACGGCCCCTTCATTGTCGCACCCGAGGCGGGCTACGACTTCTCCGTGCAAGTCGACCTTGAGAATCTGCCAGCGGAGCAAGGTTTATCTCTCTTTCCCATCGCTGTGGAATGCGGGGGCGGGGGCTGACTGAACAACAGAGGCTCGGGACGAAATAGTCCGCAAGGTCTCGCTGCTGAAGCGTAATGTGTTGGCTGCGCCCTTTGAACAGGCCTTTGATGAGTTTGCTGCGCTTTCGGAAGAAGCTTCCAAATACACCTCCGAAACTGCCCCGCAAGGTGTCCGTGAGGGCGGCGAGGTTCGCGCGATTAATTACCGTGACGAGGAGTCCATCTACATCAAGGCCGGCCACGACAGAGTTACGGTCATTTTCAGTACGGTGTTTAAGGATGAGACGGATCGCATCTTCGGAAAGGTCTTCCTTCAGGAGTTTGTTGATGCGCGTAGGCGGGCAATCCAGAATGCGCCGCAGGTGCTCTTCAGGAATGACCCGCCCTTGGAGCTTCAGAGTGTTCCTGGCATTGCCAACTCGGGGGCTGGCGATGTCGGCTATATCACATTCGGTACTGTGGCGCAATCTATATTCTCTGCTCCCATCATTTGCTGATTGTTACAGTTCTCTTCCCAAGGCACCTGACCCTGCAGCGCCGCTATGAGGTCATCTCGCACATCCAGACTTTCCGTGACTACTTCCACTACCACATCAAGGCCTCGAAGGTTTGTCGTCTACTTGTCAGCCAGAAGGACAGTTATTGATTCCCATACAGGCTTACATCCACTCGAGAATGAGGAGACGCACTGCGGACTTCCTCCAGGGTATGGCCCACTTCCCGATAGTTTTGGTTGCGAGCATGATCACTGACTCCAAGCAGTCCTTCGTCGTGCTAGACCCGAGACTGAGGAGCCCAAGGAGAGGAAGACGGCCAGTGGACGCACGTTTAAGGTCAACTTCTAAGATAGGAAGGCCGGACTCGTTATGGCGACTGGAAATCAAACCACCACACCGACAGCCAATTCAAATTTGCTCCTATCATCCGGGGGCGTCCACGCTCCGCAGCCTCGGGCAATATAAGGCATGGTCGTGGCAGTGGGCGTTGATTGGTCTGAAGCAGAGGCCACCGGACGGTGGAGAAGGTGAAGCAGGAGCAAACTGGAGATCTTTACCTAGAAATAAGACCGGATTTTCGAATCCAAAATTTGTGACAAGCTTTCGGCGTCGAAGCAATTGATTGGCACCCAATCGTGCCAATGCGTCCTACGTGATCGCCGCACTCGGCTATCTCAGGGTCCTATCAGGTTAATCGTGGCCGGATCGCAGGGGTGCGACAATATTTAGAAATAAATGTCTACAACAGTTGTTGAAACAAATAATACAATATACCCATTGTTAGGTAGGCGAAATTCACGCGACCATGGACACACTCGAAGGTACTTGGGAATAGCGGTTAGTCTGCATGCGGACCTTCTCCGTCCATATCGCGTGTGGCTACGAGTAAGATGCCCCCTGCCACGTTGCTACGTTGATCGCTCGGCCGTCGTCGACCACCGCGCTTGTCAATACTCTTACCACCACGCCTGCGCAACGATGCGCTGGCCCTGGTCCTCCTCGGACGATGAAGCAAAGAAAGCCACTGGAAGATGGAACTACAACATCAACGCCATCGACTGGCAGCACTTTAAGGAGCCGCGCAACGTAATCCCCTCGGTCCTGCTTACCGCGACGACGCTGTTCTTCATTCGTTTCTACAAAGCGCACCTACGGCGCATACCGAGCGTCGACCACATCAAACCTTCGCTGTTTAGACAGAAGAGTCTGTTCGGACATGTCACGAGCGTGGGGGATGCAGACAACTTCAGGATATTCCATACGCCCGGAGGCAGACTGTCGGGTTGGGGATGGTTTCCTGGGAGGAGGGTTCCTACTACGAGGGAGGAATTGAATGCAAGGACGGTACGCTTCGGTCGCTGCGGACAGTTTGTCTTTAATGCGAGACTGACAACGCCTATCCAGATTCATATTCGCATTGCCGGAGTCGACGCGCCCGAACTCGCACATTTTGGCCGCCCCGCGCAACCCTACGGCGAAGAGGCCATGAAATGGCTCAAATCGATGATCCTCAACCGGCGCGTGCGCGCCTACATTCACCGTCGCGACCAATACGACCGCGTTGTTGCCTCCGTCTATGTACGGCACTGGATTTTTCGTCGCGATGTTGGGCTAGAAATGTTAAAGCAGGGTTTGGCGACTGTATATGAGGCCAAGGCAGGCTCAGAGTTCGGCGGACTGGAAAAAGAGTACCGCGCTGCGGAGGCACATGCAAAACACAGCGGCGTGGGGATGTGGAAGGAGCCTGGCTTGTTGTCGCGACTGATCGGCGAGAAGAAGAAGAAGCAGCAGCCATTGGAGACTCCGAGAGAGTTTAAGACGAGGATGAAGGCCCTGGAGGAACAGAAGACGAATCAAGCGAAGAAGCCGTGCGCGACAAAGAAACGGGTCAAGAGCGCATGAGCAGTCATGAGGAGCACGATAACAATGGTGTTTGTCGGAGAGATACCCTAGAGTCGAGCAATGCCAGGACGATGTATGTATAGAGCCATGGTATTGAAACGATGGCGAGCGTAGGTAGGAATACTACATACTATTGCGTGTGTCAACAAGTTGGGACGGCTATCGGCGGTAGCAGTGCCCGACGGCGGGTGGGGACTCGTTGCGGTGGATGCTACGATGATGTTCGGACTTTGATTGCCGCATGCCCGGTGCCCGATGGATGATCCTCAGCGCTTCCTTTTCCTTGGATGCCGAGCATCGGAGCAGAAAATGAAGAGCACGAAAATTTCCCCACGAGAGAGCACAGTAGTTAGAGCACCAGCGAGTCAGTAGACAGCCAGGATTACTCATTGAATGCTCAAGTGTTTGCGTAACACCCTCCGGCCAGTGCTCAAAATTAAATTCGTCATTCGCTGAGAGGTCAGCGGGAAGGTAGTGACCGGGGCCGGCTTATCGTCCTACAGTAAAGCTAGGACCTTATCGTTTTTTCGACTCATACAACTGCGCGAACATCCTCAACAACATCCAGTCACACTTGCCTGGCTCCGGCCTCCAATTCTTCCTTAAGAGCTCCTAGCCGAGGGTTGACGAGGCTCAATTGGCCTCACGTCCTCTCCATCCAACCAGCTCCAATGGCTCTCTGTGGGCGGCTGGCGCGCCGCACGCCGAACCTCCTTCGCCAATGTCGCGCGGGTGCTTCGCCCATTTCCTCGCGCACCTTCACTCAGGCCGCTGCCTCCCCTCTGCTGTCGCTGAGGAAAGGCCAGACCCCCCGGTCTTCGTACCAGCAGCTGCGCACTTTCACCCGTGTCCAGGCCTCCCGTAACGAGAGCACCGAAGCTCCCAATGCGCAGGCCTACCTCAACTCGGGCGCGATTGCTGGCGGAAGGGATCTGGTGAATGTGTCCAAGGTACTGGTCATTGGTTCTGGTGGCCTCAGCATTGGACAGGCCGGTGAATTCGATTACTCGGGTAAGTCATTTCCTTCATATCTTCACCCATGCGACAGCAGATGTTAGGACGCAAAAACCAGTTGGGCCTCCAATTACTCCCCAGAATCGAGTATGATGCTGGGTCGCTGCTCGTGCAAAGCTTCTGAAGCTAACAATCTCCATTAGGCTCTCAAGCGCTCAAGGCCTTGAAGGAGGCCGGCGTGAAATCGGTTCTCATCAACCCCAACATTGCGACCATTCAAACGTCTCACGTGCTTGCGGACGAGGTTTACTACCTCCCTGTTACTCCGGAATATGTCCAATACGTTATCGAGAAGGAGAGGCCTGACGGTATCTTCCTCAGCTTCGGCGGCCAAACCGCCCTGAACCTGGGTGTTAAGATGAACAAGATGGGCATTTTTGAGCGTTACGGCGTCAAGGTTCTGGGAACCAGCGTCAAGACCTTGGAGACTTCTGAGGACCGTGACCTTTTCGCTAAGGCTCTCGGTGAGATCAACATTCCCATTGCCGAGTCGACTGCTGTCGAGACCATCGACCAGGCTCTGGAGGCTGCTGACAAGGTCGGATACCCCATCATTGTGCGTGCTGCGTACGCTCTGGGTGGTCTTGGTTCTGGCTTTGCCAACAACCCGGAGGAGTTGAGGAACTTGGCTGCCAGGTCGTTGACTCTGTCCCCGCAAATTCTGGTTGAGAAGTCTCTCAAGGGCTGGAAGGAGGCCGAGTATGAGGTCGTCCGCGATGCTAGCGACAACTGCATCACTGTCTGCAACATGGAGAACTTCGACCCGCTCGGTGTTCACACTGGTGACAGTATTGTCGTCTCCCCGTCTCAGACTTTCAGTGACGAGGAGTACCACATGCTCCGGTCTGCTTCTATCAAGATTGTCCGTCACTTAGGTGTCGTGGGTGAATGCAACGTTCAGTACGCTCTGCAGCCTGATGGCCTTGACTACAGGGTCATTGAGGTCAATGCCCGTCTGTCTCGTTCTTCTGCCCTTGCTTCCAAGGCTACTGGTTACCCACTTGCCTACACCGCTGCTAAGATTGGTCTGGGCCACACTCTTCCGGAGCTTCCCAACGCTGTTACCAAGACTACCACTGCCAACTTCGAACCCTCTCTGGACTACATTGTCACCAAGATGCCTCGTTGGGACTTGAGCAAGTTCCAAAACGTCAAGCGTGACATCGGCTCTTCCATGAAGTCGGTTGGTGAGGTCATGGCCATTGGCCGTACTTTTGAGGAATCGTTCCAAAAGGCCTGTCGCCAGGTCGACCCCAAGTTCCTGGGCTTCCAGGGTGACAAGTTTGACAACCTTGACGACGCGCTGGCAAACCCCACCGACAGGAGGTGGCTCGCTGTCGGTCAGGCCATGTTCCACGAGGGCTACACCGTCGACAGGATCCACGAGCTTAGCAAGATTGACAAGTGGTTTTTGTACAAGCTCAAGAACATTGTTGACTGCCAGAACGAGCTCAAGGAGATTGGCAGTCTTTTCGGCTTGAAGAAGGAGATTGTCTCCAAGGCCAAGAAGCTGGGTTTCTCTGACAAGCAGATTGCGCTCGCTGTCAACAGCACCGAGGACGAGGTCCGTGCCCGCAGAAAGGGCTTTGGTGTCACTCCCTTTGTTAAGAGGATCGACACCCTGGCTGCCGAGTTCCCTGCTGACACCAACTACCTCTACACCACTTACAATGCTTCTTCCCACGATGTTGAGTTCAATGATCACGGTGTTGTCGTTCTTGGCAGCGGTGTTTACCGTATCGGCTCTTCCGTCGAGTTTGACTGGTCTGCGGTCATGGCTACTCAGGCCCTGAACAGGCTCGGCAAGAAGACCGTCATGATCAACTACAACCCCGAGACCTACTCCACTGACTTCGACGTTGCCGACAAGCTCTACTTCGAAGAGCTCAGCTACGAGCGTGTCATGGATATCTACGAGCTCGAGACTGCTTCTGGCGTTGTTGTCTCTGTCGGTGGCCAGCTGGCTCAGAACATTGCTCTCAAGCTCCAGGAGACCGGCAAGGCTAAGGTTCTTGGTACCGACCCGCTCGACATTGACAAGGCCGAGGACAGGCACAAGTTCTCTCAAATCCTTGACTCCATTGGTGTTGACCAGCCGGCTTGGAAGGAGCTGAGCTCCTACGAGGATGCTAAGAAGTTTGCTACGAGTGTTGGATATCCTGTCCTTGTTCGTCCCTCATATGTCCTCTCTGGTGCCGCCATGACTGTCATCCACAGCGAGGAGCAGCTCGAAGAGAAGCTGCTTGCTGCCAGCAGCGTTTCTCCCGATCACCCCGTCGTTATCACCCAGTACATCGAGGGCGCTCAGGAGATTGACGTTGACGCTGTTGCATCTAACGGCAAGGTCCTCGTCCACGCCGTCTCAGAACACGTCGAGAATGCCGGTGTCCACTCTGGTGATGCTACTCTTGTCCTTCCTCCTGTCAACCAGGACGAGTCTACCCTCCAGCGTTGCAAGGAGATCGCCGATAAGGTTGCCAAGGCTTGGAACATCACTGGTCCCTTCAACATGCAAATCATTAAGGCTGAGGACCCCGCCGGCGGTGAGCCTGCTCTGAAGGTCATTGAGTGCAACCTTCGTGCTTCCCGTTCTTTCCCCTTCGTCAGCAAGGTCCTCGGTACCAACTTCATTGATGTTGCCACCAAAGCTCTTCTTGATAAGGAGGTTCCCGAGCCTGTTGACCTCATGGCTAAGAAGCGTGACTACGTCGCCACCAAGGTTCCTCAGTTCTCGTGGACTCGTCTTGCCGGTGCTGATCCCTACCTTGGCGTCGAGATGTCCTCGACTGGTGAGATGGCCTGCTTCGGTAAGGATTTGGTTGAGGCCTACTGGACCTCGGTGCAGTCTATGATGAACTTCCGCGTTCCCGAGCCCGGTGAGGGTCTGCTGTTCGGTGGTGATGTCACCAAGAGTGAGCTTGCTGCCATTGTTGATTACATGAACCCCTTGGGTTACAAGCTGTACGCGGCCAACAAGGAGGTCAAGAACCACCTCGAGAAGGCCAGCAAGGACAACTCCGTCAAGGTCGAGGTCATTGAATTCCCCAAGGAGGACAAGCGTGCTCTGCGCGAGGTCTTCGAGAAGTATGATATCCGCGGCGTCTTCAACCTTGCTAAGCAGCGGGCGAGCAGCCTCGTCGATGAGGACTACGTCATGCGCCGCAACGCGGTCGACTTCGGTGTTCCGCTCTTCATGGAGCCTAAGGTAGGTCTTCCACCTTCTGATTGGTAGGTGAATGATGGCTAACTGTTATCACAGACCGCGCTCCTGTTCGCTCAGTGCGTTAGCGAGAAGCTTCCTCGCAAGGAGGGCATCCCGACCGAGGTTCGCAAATGGAGCGAATTCGTCGGAAACAAGTTGTTGTAAGCTACCATCACGAAACTCAAGAGGGCACACGTTATAAAGGCGGGAGATGTGATGTCAAACAAACAAAAACTGGCGTATTCTGCTTTATGGGTTCTTTGATTATCTGTATTACTTTCGGGTCTGGAGAGGGAAATGAGGGATAGAGGGGAGGGATATCCTTGCTGGTTGGGGTGCGTGAGCCCGTGTAGATAGATGGGCTTGACGGGGAAAATTGGGGTAAGTAGGATAATATACCACTGTTAGGTTGTACGTTTAGTCGTTCTAGGCGAGTCCAGTACAGTTTCTTTTATGGATTTAGGTTATGAATCTCCTCTCATCTTACCATTTCTCACTCAGTCTGATTCTCCACCTAATTCTACTTTCATCAGTGCATCTTCTGAGGTAGGTAACGTCCGTCACCGTGAAGCGAGATGGTGATACTTGGAGGTACAGAGTAGAAGAAGAGACCCGGGCAGTTAAGATATATAGAGTCTGTGTGCTCTAAGACCTTTCCACCCACACCTGGGACTCAGGCTGTGAGCTAGACAAAGAGTACTCTGTAGGTAGGGACTGCTTGTATCTTCCCCTATCTCGCTAGACGGTGGATCTCGGTTTGCGGCGACGGACGTTATTCCATAGGAATTGCTTGTACGGAGGCCCGGCCAGTTCAAGTTTTTCGCCTTCTTTTTTGGGAATGGGTAGATACAGGGTACGCTGCCTCAGCAACAGGCCTCTGATTTACAGTGCGTCAGCGTCTTTTTAGGCCCTTTCCAGGCCTAGACAGCTTAAAAACAGGGCACTAGGCCCTAATCAAGGCCTACTTGTGCAGGCCGTTACTATGGTAACACCCCTGTATCAGGTCTGTCCCAAAAAGGAAGGCGAAAAACTTGAACTGGCCGGGCCTCCGTATTCTTAATTGTATCAAAACACCTCAATTCGGAATAGATAAGCGCGAGCCTCGCGCCACGATACTAAAAAGAGACAAAGACCATTAGGCATCAAGTAGGTGGAGTCCAACCGAATAACATTGGTACTGGGGCTTGTTGCCGCCCACATGTTGAGATATGGCTGCCTTGCAGTCTTGGCGCGCCCTGCAATGTCGAATAGGTACCAGGGGGCAGACTAGGTAGAGGTAGGTAGGTAGGTAGGTAGTAATGCTGGAGCCTAAAGTCGACTTTGTAATTTGTGATGGATCTCTTCGTACAACAAGTCGACTAGGATTATATGCAAATGCCCAATTGGGCGGCAGGTACGTACCTAGGTAGTACCATTGCGTGCTGCACTCGCTGATCTGTGTCTAGGCTGCAAGATTCTCTTAAGGAAGTTGCTTAGAATTCCTGAAGGACGACCACGCCTTCAAACAGCGCATTTTTTCAATCAAACAATCCAGTAAAGGTGCCATAATTCTCTCCAATTTGCCAAGCATGAGCTCCAAACCTACTCGTGAACCCTCGTTCTCAAATGCCAAGGAAGCAGACAAAAAGCAAGCCGGCGCTCGCAAGTCTTTTGAATCTGTGTCCACACTGCCACAATACGAGGAGGGCGATTTTGTGTCCAGCTCTGAGGGTGCAGCAAAAGGGTGAGTTTTCTCTCTACCTATGGTTAACACTACGTACATTTCCATGTCTTACACCTCCAACCTTACCTAGGCCACCATCACAACCCTACTCTGGCTTTTCGAAATCGAAATCCAAACTCGGAGCTGCGTACCAAGATATTAAATCAAAAATAAGAACCAGTAACAAAGATGACGAAGATCCGGCGCTGGCGGCAGAAAGATTGGTGGAGAAGCAGCAACGGGAAGAAGAGAGGAAGCGAGAATATGAACGGCTAGGTTTGGAGGAGAAGGCAAAGTTCGGCTGGGGAAGAGCGGGAATGAACTTCAATGGTTGAGGAAAAGGCGTACTCAGTGGAACCCAGGTGGACGGGTGGATGCCCGCGTGCATGAGTTCCTTCCTCAGAGGAAATTACGGCGCGACAAAGAGGAAGTGACCAGCCTGCTCGCCCTTTCCTCAGGCTCTCTTCCAAAATGCTGCCAAGAGTATAAACCCCCCCTCTTTTCCTCTTCTCCCTTTTATTCCTTTCCTTCCTTCATGCTTCTTCTCTCAAGTCAAGGCCAATCATATTTCCATCAATTCCATTCCATGCACCCTGTAGGTACCTACCTACCTACCTAGGTAGGTACCTAGTACCGATTTAGGTAGGTGGATCCGGAGACAGACCGGGTACCACCAACGGAGAGACAATCGTGGAGGTGACATTGAAAGCATCAACCCTGCACGAGCACGCTACGTGTTGTAGATTCCATTCATTTTCGTATAGGTGAACTAGGCGGTACCTAGGTGTATCATCGCTGCTTCAGTCCAATCTTCAAGAGCATGCTTTCGGAAAACTTGGCCCAGTCATGCAGCATGGCACTATTCACGGTACAGACGCGAACTTCTTCGCCCGCTCTGTTTACCATCTCGTCTTCAAATGCATCTATAGCCTCCACTTGCGTCTTTTCTGCTGTCATGAAAGACTTGACCGCTTGCACCAGCTCCCAGACATCAGTGACACAATGATTGAGCCCTTGTCCGCGCTGATAAGTCATCGGATGCGCCGCGTCTCCTGTCAACGTAACCTTTCCGCCACGGCTATCCCACTGGTGGCCCTCCATGCCAGGATCCCAATCTGTGAGCCCCATGTGCCAGATCGGTTGCTCATCCGGCAACCACTCGGCCGCACTCTTCCACGGATCGCACCACCCGCTCGCCAGACTCTTAAGTTTGGCGAGGTGCTGTGCGTTCGTCCAGTCTGCCATCTCGACCAACTCTTCCGGTGTGGCTGGCCACGAGATATAGAAAAGGATGGTCCAGCTCGCAGGGTCTGCCGGGTTGCGCACATCGTGCATGCCGAAGAAGCCGAATCGGCCGTCCGGGTGAATAGCTCCCAGGTATATTGGATGCACGGCGAGCAGCTGCTTCATTTGCGCGGCTGTGTAGCGGGCTTGCACAAAGTTGGCTGCAAATGGAAGACGGTTGACCGAGCCAGGCCCAGGCCCGAGAAGGAGCCTGCGAAGCTTCGACCGCGCCCCGTCGGCACCCACGAGCATTCTGTGATCCTGTCAGCGAGGAAGAACTTACCTATTTTGGGGTATTGGTCGCTAGGTACCTGCCAGTCACTTCTGTGCCATCCTCAAACCTCGCAACCACCCTGTCATTCTCCTCTCGGAAGCTCTCAAGACTTTTGCCGAAGCGAACATCCAGTCCATGCGCCAGCAAGCTGCGGTATTTCTCGCGGCGTGCCCGGTAGAACCGCTCGACAGGGATGCCGTAGATCTTTTCTCCCGTCTTGCCATTGAGGATCTGGATTTCGTCTTTCTCTCGCACGGGCTGGTGCGGGTCTACGTGTACCGACTGTATTTGCACCCATATCTCGGCCGGTAGCAGCTATTGTAGGCGTGGTGCACCCCAGTGTAGCCCCATGTTCCAGTCTCGAGATCCGGAGATGTTGGGATGTCTCTCTAAGACGATGGTGTTGATACCAATCTGAAATAGCTGTTAGAGTGCGCGTTTTGGTATCTATAGCATCGAAGATATGTGTGTTCTACAAGTTTAGCTGGAGACCAGAAAGTGAATAATACGTTTTGTAGTTTTGTGGACATGTGGTATTAAAAGACAGCACTAACCATTTTCAATCCCTGTGCAAGTGTTAAACCAGTCACTCCTAGTAGTTGTCAATCTCCTGTACTATTTCAGGGGTCATTCGGTGAGCTAAAACATACCAGCACCAGCGATGAGGACGGTCCTTTCTGCCTCATATACGTTTGTTGCATCCATACTTGAATATGTTGATGAAAGCTCGATTCCTCGACCGGTGTCTACAAGAATGAATAGCAAGAGTATTTATATCAGCTAATAAGTGGGGTTAAGTTGTTTTAGTAACTAGTGTCTGTCGGCCTCGGCTCTCCAAGTTGACCGAGCGGTCGACTGCGAACGGAATGTTTACCAGAAGATCCCTACGCATTCCATTTTAGGTTTAGTACCTAGTGATGATGTGCTCGCCCTGTCAGTGTATTGTATAACCGGCGCATAAGCTTCTCGAGTAATAGCTCCATCTTTATGTGTCTATTATATCAGCACCTTGGGAAAGCCCTCCTGGTCAATAAACTGCCTCATTTGGTTAGCGTAGGGCTTAGCCGATATTCGGTCACGTTTTTTTCAGTATAAGAAACCAAAAAGGCATGAACACTACGAAAAGTGATATCCGTTTTTGTTCTACTCGCATACTTATTGGCAATTCGGTATGGATTAGTACTGACTTTATAAGCGTGTCATACTTTGGCTGTGCTCGTTTCCTCTTTCAGACTTTACTTTTTGTCGTTGGCTACGGGATGTGAAGGGAGCTTTGCATATAGGTAAGTATTATTTGACTAGTGTATCTAAGTGACCTTGATATCAAAGACCAGGAGTTTCTTCCTTCTCACCCATCGTCCGTCTCATAATACGGATTGTTTGGATCATAGGGAAATTTCCTGATCACCACATCGCCTTTATAGGAATATAGGTCCGGTTCGAACGTTGCAATATCAGCATTGCACGTCATTTGGGCTTGGCCAAAGGTATCAACTGCGCTGACACTGCCGTTTTTGTAATCGATGCGCACCATGTTCACCGTTTCACGGCTGGGATCTCCAGAAAGGTAATTTAGGGGCATGATTTGCAGGCCAGAGTGCGCAGTCGTGAAGACAGTATTTGGCAAATCGCCTGTAAGAGAGTTAGTACATGTACTTGAGTTGAGTTGAGTTGATTGCTTCGATGTAGGAACATACCTGTATGAGGAATATGGTGCATTCCAAGATTGAACCAGACAACTATATCCTCCTGTACAAGGGATTCTCCGTCGAAGAACTCATTGAAATCCACAACGGGATTGTTTACGTCCTGAGAATTGTAAGGGTGTGCAGCTCGCGGCTCGGTATCTTTTCGTCTTGTCACAAAAAGGTCATGTGTTGCCCAATTTGCTGCATTAGCAAGATTGCTGCTATCCTTGACTGTAAGGTGAGCCGTTCCCCGTGATGGGAGCACACGGAAACCTTTATGTTCGCCAAAAGCATTAGGCTTATCGAGGTTGACGACTGTAAATTGCGTAGCTCCGTTGTCTCCCCACAACAGCTTGGATTCGTCCTCAGTTTTGATTTGGTTACGCTGAAGTTTCATCGTGTTACGCGCTTTGCCTTTCGACCATGGATACGACTCGGAAACAGGAACCATAGTTGTGGTTGTCATTGTGTTTGCTGTACCCAGAACATCAAAGTCGACTTTGTAGTTGAGGACATGATCGTGCATGCTCCCGGACAGGGCATCGTGGATTTGGTAGCCATAGTCTCCGTTGTGAGCCCAGTAAGCGGATTGGATGTAACCCGATGCGCGCACCTCCACATGAATGCTGCCATCCATGTAAAATGAATAAGAGAACATGTAGTCGTAATTCCCCACCGTAGAAATGTTCCTTATTGTGAAGAAGATATTCTTCGTTACGCTTACGTAAGTTGATGTGCTGTGGCGTTGGATAGGGTAGCCAGCATCTTGCTCAAACATGCAAATACTATTGATGTGAATGTGTGTTGTTTCCACGGTGTAGAAGGAGCTGTCCAAGTAGGTGGCGTATGATGGGCAATCGTAGCCTGCGACAAGTTCGAAAGAAAAAGGACCGAACCCATAGAATGAATCCAAATAAGAAGTACCGGATTGGATAGGGTCATTGCCCGCATAGTGTGCTAGTGCCTCTTCGAGGCCTAGTTCGTATATGATTCGCTCTCCCTTGTATTTGATGTCGTAGATGCGCATGCCGGTATCTCTCGTGAAAGCAATGTAGAATTCGAAATCCATCCATTTGACATATTTTTGTTCCTTGTCCACAGCATACCGTGAGCCCCCTGGAGTGACGGAAATTGGTGGATAGGAAGTGTCTAGTGGCGGCGCAGTGTCTTGCTGATCTGTGTTTGCCCAAGGCCCTTGAATATTTGGTTTTAGTTTTTCGAATCCAGGAGAGTAATATGCAGCCCTAAACTCTTCGGTTGTGGAATAGTAGACGTTGTTATATAGCCATCCTTCAAAAGACCACTTGCTGGGATTTCGCCCGGTGATATTGGAGGAAAAGTATAATCCAAGCGGAAGGAGTGTGAAAGAATCAAATTCATCTGTCGGAAGCATCCAGAATTGGTCCCAGCGAATGATTCCATCGTCTTGCCAGAGTGGATCCTGTCCCCATATGTCAAGGGTATCGTTTCCAAAACCAAGAGCAGAGCCATTCCAAAGGTCTAGAGTGATGTCCAAGATAGAACCACTAATTTTGTGTATCCAGTATTTGTACAGTGTATCATCAGCGTCAGCGTCAAGGTTTCGAACTCGACCTCCTGTTTTCCTTGTGTAAGGATAAGTCAGAGGCTGGTAGGTAGTGGTGCCGTTCTTCACTGGTAACGGCCCGACCAAGATATCTTCGTAGTATGGCTCGGTGGTGGCCCGGACATCAAGGACAACGTGAGCATATCGTACTGGCGCGTTTCCTTCTTTATCAAGGTATTCAAGCACTCCGGTCTTGTTCGGTAGCATAAGTTCAATGAGCAGCTTTAAAGGTCAGTAGTGGTTCTAGAAGGCTTTAAGATTTGCTTCCATAAAACGTACAATTGAGTTGTCCCACTCTCCTGCTTTCTTGGATACAGTCAGGTTCAGTGATTTCTGACCAAATAGCCAAGAATCTACAGAAGCAGCCTCTGTGTCTGTAAGCCCACTCCAAACATTGGATTTAGGTGCAGTGGTCAGCTGCGCAGTTGGCACAGTACACGAGGCTCCACTAGATTAGCGCTTCATAGGGTAATGATATCTCCCCCTTTGACGACTCTTTCTCATCCATGCTGAGCTCGACTTAGGACTTGGTCTAGAGGAAGCAAGTCTGGCATAACTGAGAGCGAAAAATACAAAGACTAGCCAGGCGGCCACTCGTGGCATCAGAGGCATCATTGTGAAGTTTGTGAGATCTGTGGTGTCATTGAAGCACGGATCGAATTGATTTATAGGAGACAGGTTCTTACTATAAGTCATTCTCAATTGACTTTTAAGCTCATTCGGTTGTCAACTTACTAGTATGTTGGATGGTATCGTGGGGAAGTCCGCTTCTACACTGATAACGGGATCCAGGTTGATGGAGCCGAGATCTCTCGCCCGATCCCGCTTGTAGAGTCATCGGTAAGAAGTGCATATACAAGGATAACAATGCGGGGATAGGTTCGATACAAAGGTGGGATGTCAGATCAGCGTTAAACAGATAACTTCGCAGTGTGTCGTAGCGCGTACCGACGGCAAATCTCTTATCTTGCCGCATAGACATTCCTCTTTGTCGCATTGCTTCATTGGTGATTCCGAGGGAGCATAACTTAGCGCGGTATAATCGGTATAATTATCGGGTAATGTAGGAGGAAGTGAGTTGGCTCCGTGTCGAACCTACGAGCTGCAGAGGAAAAGAAAGGTGCTTGCCGATCAAACCTAGCAAGCCGATAGCACAACTTAAGGACTGTTAACAGATGGAACATTAACTAACAGAATGTATCTTAACCTGAGGCCCGGCGCCAATTAGGTCGCGTGCGAATCTGGTTCATCAGTACGGCGACGGGTATATATTGCTGATACCAATAAAAGCCCTGCTATCTTTGAGTTCCAAAAACCTTTTATCAAACGAAAAACCTTACAAATATGAGGGTAGAGAAGACTATTCGGCCATAAGAGAGGAAACAGACTGTGACTCTTCTCCACCGTCATAGGAGGGGGCAGGCCCACGACAGCAATCTCTCGACCCACCGCAATACCTCAATAGATCTCTTGCTGATGGCCGATCAGCAGCGTCTCGTCGAAGCATTCGCTGTAGCAGAGGTAGCCACAATTCCCAGTATACCGGGGTATCTGCAGGAAAGCGCAAATTTTCCAGCCATTTTCTCACTATGACCATATTCGTGTGGTAACATCCATCACCTTGTCTTGAATACTGTTGGATTTCTGCATCCGAGTCGTCACCACCATCATCTTGTTTTGTGTTCTCCTCTCGTAAATCAGTGAAGTCTTCCAAAGATTCCCCTGCAAGAACAGTGAAAATCTCTGCAAAAACGCATCCAAGAGAAAATATGTCGGCCTTTTTGCCGCGTCGCTTCTTGTTTGGGATCTCGGGTGCGCAGTATTTTCTTGTGAAGGAAATATTAGTGTTTGTATCCATATCTTCATGCGCCTTGTAAGCTCTGGCGATACCGAAGTCGGCGAGATAGACAGTGTAGGGATGCGTTTTGCTTTCAGTCGATTTTACCAATACGTTCAGGGGCTTGATGTCCATATGTTTGATTTTCTTGTCGTGTATATAGGCCATGGCATGAATCAGACATGGTACAAAACCAGAAAGTGATCGTGTCTCTATGCTGGATGTACCAAGCTGTTCGCAGCGTTGCATGAACTCATCGAGGTTGTAGTCTGCCACAGGGTATATGAGGATAGCAAACTGTTTTTTTGGAAGGAGGTAGCTCCCTATAAGCTGGACGATATGGGGATGCCGCAGGCGCTGAAGGTGCTCGACTTCGATTACTGCCTCTTCTTTCTTCATTCTTCGATGAAGGCGAATTATTTTTCGGGCAATAGTGTATTGGTTTAGACGACATGCTTCTACCATAGCAGTGGCGCCATGCCCCAATGATTTGCATGTTTGCAATGGAATCTCAGACTCATTCGAGTATTCAATATGTTGGCCTCTGCCAGACCAACTAGGGTCGCAATTTTGGAGGGTTATCAATGGTGAGCTTTTCAAGCCGGGGATCAAGTCCGCGTTAGGCTTTGACTCGGACAATAAAGGGTCAAGGAGAATACAACTGCGAGCGAAGGTGGCTTGAGTTTGTATTCCATCGGTAAGCCTGCCAAGGACAGGCTCGGCTGGTGCCAACGACTCTTCGTGCTCCGGTACTGTAGACAGCTCATTATCTTTTTGCTCTGTGAGGCCGTCCTTTACACGGAGACCAGGGTTAGAAGCGCAATCGTTTCCGATCTGGGATGGTGCCGTGCTATAGTTTTTGCCTAGTCGAAGGGTAGTACGATAATCGGTGCCACATGTATTCTGTTTGTGAAGTGTTAAATCAGACGACCCATTGAATAACAAAATTCAGACTCCTTAAGAGTAAAAACGGTAACAAGACCGTCAAATTAAACAAGGATTGGGTCCATACCTTGTCCATTCCCGGTTGGTGCCCAGCCAGAGCGCCCAAGATAGCTGTCATTTGATGTTTCTTCTCATCGGTTTTGGATCTGTTGTTTTTGGGGTCCTCTTCTATATTGGTCAGTGTAGATGTTTCCGGTGAAAGTCCATTCAGCCCTGCTCTTGGGGCTAAAAAGTGCTCTTCCGGAGCAATTTCGCCTCTTCCGTCTGTCTTTGAATCGGTGACTCGGCCACTTTCAGCATCCACGATAAATCCAGAGTGGTTCGTCTCTTGCTCCATAACTTGCAAGGGATATGGCAAATATTTCTCAAGTTTGTCAGGACGCTGTGTGTCCACGGGAAGAGCTTTGGAAGCAGGGATGTGGTTCTCACTATCCACCACGTGAATCACACCTTGCACCCCATTCCTCGAGCCTTCAACAGGATCAAAATCTGACTTATCAAAGTCAAGGAGGTTGGTATGGCCCAAATGTTGAAAGCGTTTGGGCTCGTCTTCAAGAGAAGTTGTACGTTCTTTAACCTCATACTGATCTCGAAACTCTAGCAAGTCACTTGAGACTGTATTCTCGGGAGGTACTGTATGAGCAGAAAGGTCCGCTTTGAACCGTGGTGACGCGAGACCGTCGGCAGTGATGCTTGCGTTGCCCTGACTTGGTTGTTGATTCCATTGATGTTCGCCATTCGAGACTTCCGAAGCATCGTCAACCTTCGGTTTCTCGTATTTTTTAAAGACTCCGCCTTCTTGGGGTTCATTAGGTACTATAGAGCCCTTCGACACGTTAGAAGCCTCCGGTTCATCCGTATGGTTGGTTCGGCCATTGTTTCCCTTGTTAGACCCAGACTTGATGTTTTCAAAGTTTCCAGCAATTGATTCGAGCGGTAAGTTCCAAAGGGTTGGGCCGTATTCTCCTGCCTGTGCTGATGGGGCATCAGGAACCGGAGGCGGGACAGACATGCGGGTCCTCCTGGGCTCTGATGAAGTCATTCTCGACGAAGACAGTAGGGAGGATCCTGAAGAGCTTTTTATCGATCCACTTCTGCTTTTAAGTGGCCGATGCCGGCCCTCTTCGGTTTGTGAGATTTCTGAAGAAACATACGAACGATCGCTTTGCTCGAGTTCGCGGTGTAGTTTCATGTGCACAGTCCAACCTGGTTGTACAACCGAGGACCATGTTTCGGGAACAATAAGTTGATGATCCGACGTATACAACCAATACAATCGCTGTTCAATGTCGTCATCCAAAGTCTCTTCAGCGCCATGAAAAGCTGATTTTATGACTTTTTCGACCCTCTAGGCGAACAAGTCAATACATAGCGACATCTGTGGAACCAAGAGTACTTACCTCCCAGGATTTACATTCTGGCATTGGTAAAAGCACCTTTCTTCCGAAGCAGTCTTCAAGGGTTATTGCAGCTTGGCTATGCTCCGAGTTGAGAAATGTTGTACCGTTCGCCAGGCTTTCTGCATGAAGAGAGGTTGCGGATGTCTTGCCTAGAACGTCCTTTTTGGCAGTAACCAACTCCTCTTTGAGAGAAGGAAATGTAGTAGTTGCTTGAATCTCATGATCCCCCAGACCAGTCTTGCTTTCCTCCTTGGCCCGTAAGAGAGATTCAAGTGTTGCGGCCACTTCTTGAGCATTTAACCGGGCCTCAACTGCTTGCGCAGCCTTATGGTTGGCTTCGGCAACCTTGGCTCCAGCTTCCGCTTCGATGACTGCCGCCTTTTCTTGCGTCGCGCGATTACGAGCCATTTGCTCCTCGTGAGACTTTATCAAAAGCTCAAACACGCTCGCAAATTTGTCTTCATCTTCTTTACGTACAGCAGCTTTGATGGCAGCCTCATTTTCTGCGGCATCAGTAGCCACTTTCAGTTTCTGTGCAGCTACTTCGAGTCGTTCGAGTCGTTCGACAACATCAAACTCCTGAGGAGTTAAAGCGGACTTCGAAGACAATGAAGTGCTTGGAATAGGCGCGGGAGCCGGTATAGATGCGGGAGCCGGTATAGATGCGGGAGCCGGCGTTGATGTAAAAGTTGGCCTTGTTACACGTTGTTCCAGACGGTTCAACCTTTCCTCCAGCTTGGACTGGCGTTCGTCTTCAATAAGGTCTGAGAAGGCTGTTTGCTCGTATTTCAAGGCATCGATTTTGCCAGCCAATGCATCTCTTCGTTGGCGTAGAAGTTGAACCATTGATGGAACACTAGCATTCACTGAACCCGGGTACCCTTCTGCTGGGGGATTGTAGTCACGTCCCATCGTGTTATAAGCGTCATTACTTCTAAGGTGATCTCGACGCTGAGGATAATTTGAACCATATCGTTGCCCTAAATCACCTGGAGGAACGGGTGCGGAAAGATGACGAGATGCGGAAGTATCATAAGACGCTGCAGATGGATGGTATTCTGCTGGAGGACCAAATGTTGTTTTGTGGTTGTCCATAGGCTTGGAAGGAGGAGGGGGTGGTGGTGGTCGTGGTTGATACGGATACGGATACGGACGCGTCGAGTTAAAGACTGAAGCAGGCGCAACTTGACCACTAGGATCGCCTGCCCTGTAAGGTTGAGGGGGTCCAGACATGAAAGGGTTGTCCGTTGGGTAGTTATCGACATAGTTACCAGCGTATCCGGTTCTCTTTGGGGAGGTGTTTGTGAGCATATCACCTGGAGGGAGTTTACGGGTATTTCCTTCGGTTTCCGCGGTTCCTCTGCTGCTATTGCGCCTTTCATTTTCATCCCGTGGCGCTGGGGGTACTACTTCAGCCGCATCGCGTCGCTTTTTTCTACCATTTCGGGTCCTGTGGCGCGGTTGTCCGGGTTGGCCATCATCCGTGCCAGTTCCAGGCAGGGATGAAGTAGACATCGCGACATTTCTTGACATTCTGCGTATTCCGAATACTGGTGATCGAGGGTCCCTTGCGTATGTTGCTTAGCGTTTAACAAATGTCCCAGATCCTGGGCTTTTCCAATAGGCGACTGTGCCGTGCGTTTAGGAAACCTAACTTGGTCTTCCGCTCAGGTTCAGCGTTGGCAGAGTTTCTCAGGGAGCATGATGGAATATAAGCTGCTTGATTGCAATCCGCGCGGGGCCACCGGGTGCAGCAAGGCTAGATGCATATGCAATAAATCGAGATTAGCCCACCTGCCCACCGCGTCTGGATGCAGCCATGTAAGATAGAGAGCTCAGCTCGTCTCTGGCGCGACAATTGACTAGGTTATTCGCTGACGACCCCGCTGAAGAAATATGTTCTAGGCTTATCCCGCAAGATGAAGATGAATGGAAGCGCAGTGGTGCGATCGCCATTGGAGATACATAATTTGGATAGGTGAGGCAGCATATGAACCGGACTACCGTTGAAATGTTGTGTCGCGTTGTAAAGTGGAATCACTTGTTGGGTCTCGTCAACGAACTAAATTTGGCCCTCGGCCCCGGATAATTTGACCACCCATTTAGGCTATTTTAACCACCGTACGTATACCTGATTAGAGTGATTTGCGCCTTTATATTTGTGTTACCTATTTTCTTCGTCTCCGCATCGCGGTCGTGACATATCCTTCGACAGAGACCTAAGAAAGTCAGAATACAGCTTGCTCAATCTCCATTAATAATGGATGCATAGCTCTACTGTGTTTCATCGCAGTGATTTGAAAGGCTACATGAATCACGTGATGACTGCGTATGTGGCATGACTCCATGTTGCCAACTTTCACCAGCAAATAACCATCACCCGACAAAGCATTGGCTCCTGTCAAGCATGTGCATAGCAATCGCGGTGATGGGTTCGTAGAGTCATCGCACTCTTCACCGCTGACAGGTGCGGAGTAATGACACCGCAGCGGTGTCTGCCTACGCTAACCCCATTCACTCTTTGGAGGAGCGACTGCCAGATTGAGACGTTCGGGCGTCATGTTTCTCCTGTGTTGGCTCAGCCACTGGCATGGACATGTTGTTGCAGAGTCATCGCTTGGTATGCATAAAAGGTAGGCTCAAGACCGTGTCTTCCCTTCTTTCTCCAGAAATCACCATGGACAACATTTCAGCTGCCATTACTGGCGAATCCACACCAGCCTGGAAACAACTCCCCAAACATGAGCAAATTCCCCCTACCCTGGTACCTCTGGTAGACGCACGCCATTTCTTTGCAGTCGACGCTTCGGGATCCACGTCGGGCAGCATCATACGGTCAGAGCAAGCCTTCGTTCAAGGAGTACATCAACGAGGTCGTGGAGACGAGGCAACCTTATGGGGATCCAATTGTAACGATCCCGCCTCCGTCGAAACTCTGCTTTCGACGCCATGGGGGGGAGTCATGGGTGGTACTAGCCCTTGGAGGATACTTAACAACCCTAAATCTCTTGGCGCTATCCTTCGATCTGATGTATGGTACCTCTTGACTGATGGTCAGGTTGGCTCCTACGAAGTTCAAAGGCTCTCCGCAGAAGCCACAGAGAAAGAAGTGCTCAATGTCCCTGTCATCTTTGTCATCACAGGTACCAAGCGGGAGTCACCGAGCAGTGTGGACATCTCCGTAGGGATCACATTCTTTGCCAACGCTCAAGATGCGATATGCCTGTTCGTGGACAAGAACACCGGTACTATCTACACTTTGGCCTCCAAGGGATGCTTTGCCGCACTCACAGACGCTCATGGCAATTCGACACCCGACCTATCCACCTGGGAGCACCTCAGGTTCTTCTTGAACGAAGAAGATTTCATTGCCAACTGTCAGAAGAACAAAATCCAAGTCCCGTCTGCTGACACTCGGATCACACCTACTTCAGGCATATCGTTGGGAGTAGAGTGGGAAAGATTGAACGGTCGTGGTATTGTTGTGGATCTAGATGCGCTTCTGGCAGCAAGAATGCTCTCCAATGACGACCTCGAGCAACTTTTGGCAGAAGAAGCTTTCGACAATCTCTCGATCACATGCAAGACCAGGGGCAAAATTGGAGACCTTCGTCAGTTCATATTGCAGCAGAAGGTAACTGAGATGGCAGTCAAGCTTGAGGACATAGCCGGCGCAAATGCTATAGTTGCGCGTTTGGGTGAAGCTGGCCTAGACAATGAGATCCGAAGCCAACTTCAAGCACAACTCAGGGAAGCACACGCCACAAACCGCCGGACATACCAAGTTGCTGCCAAGAATGCATTGGAATCCCCAGAAGCTCTAGAAGCCCGGTCCAGAAACAGACTAGTTGATCGGGCACTTCAAACGTTGGCGGAGATCGAAAGCTCCGGCTACACAGCGGATATCCTTTCTCGGCGAAGCAACCGTGCTCGTCGGGCCACGACAGTAGCTCCAACGGAAGGAGATGTTGCAATTGCAACATTGGATCTGGAGACGCCCACAGCCTTTCGAAGCGATTGCCTAGTGTGCTGTGGAGACAATGAAGTCATGTCAATTGCCATCAAGAAAGGCGCTGATGGTGCTTTCAATACGGACAACTTCGCACTGGACTTCCCTCTCGCCGCTGGGAAGCATGGCAAAAACCAAGATCTCATTTCTAGCCAATGTGTCTGCTTCCAATGCGCCCTGCTTGGCCGCCCAGGAAAATCTATTTACGGAGAGGAAATTTCAGCCGTAATACCGACGTTTGACTACAATGGCAGTAACAAGAAATATGTTAACGAGCAGCTTTTCTTGGCTCTTACCGGTGGCTTGCGGACAGGCGCCTCTGGCGCTGCGCAGTTGTTCATGGCTATGCTAGACAACACGCTGAAGACGAAAGCATGGGCTGGAGCGTCGGTGGACACAGAAAGCCTTCCAGACTCAGAAGTTCATCAGCGACGGACCATGTTTGAATGGACGCTGGCGAACATGTTACAGAACACGTCGTGTAGGGAGACTTTTGATGAACAAGGGCCTTGGGTTCCGTATCCGAAGGCATTGGAGTGGGCCGCCCGGAACTTTCAAACAGAAGGCCTAGACAGTTTCGCCGTTCGCTATCCAGTGGGAGGGTTCATGCAGCTTGTTGCCTTTGGCAAGGCCACCGGGGCCTTCGACGACAAGACAATCCGCGATCTTAAGGCTACTAAGGTCCTGCACGCCGTAACCTCTAGTTTCCTGGCGCAGCTGTATCGCGATTCAACGGGGAACCTCGGCGAGGCCTGGACGCAGCCCCTTCTTACGATGGTCTACTCCGAATTTAATGCAGACCTTGTTCCTGTCGACTTTGGGGGTGAGGAATCCATCGTCACTTCCACAGATAAGTTCTGGGCCGCACTGTCAGCCTTCCTAAAGGCAGACACTGAACTTCTGAAAGACTGGGAGCAGGCTGATCAGCTACGAATTATGCCTCGCGTCCAGCTGTTGCTTTTCTGGCTCATATACCATCAGAAAGGCCACACGAGCGCAAAGACATTCTTCCACAAACTACAGAACGAACAGCCCCTTGCACCCAGCGTTCTCTCCATTAATACCCCACTCTCCACCTCTGCCATCGAGCCCACTCTCCTATCAATATTCCGACAGCACGATGCCTCCGACCACCCCACCACCATCGCCAACGACGGTAACATCCACGCCACCGCCGTCGTTCCCTTTGCTACGCCCTTCGGCCCCAGCGTCCTTCACTGTGGCATATGTGGCGAGCCCTTCGCTCCCGTTTCTACCACCTCCTCCACGCCCCTGACCGTTGACTTCCTAGCCAATCTCCGCGCCGCTCGCGCCACACACCTTCGCGCCGCCTTCGCAGGCGGTACCTCCTCCACCGGCCTCCCGGAGCCGACACTTACTCCCGCGCCTCCCTCTTCTACACACTGCAACCTGCATGTCAGCGTTGCACGAGCGTGGGCAGCGCTCTCTGTCGAAACACGGGATGCAGCGCGGGAGGACGGTAGCGACGCGCAGGTGATATTTGTGCAGAGCGCAGTAAAAGAGATATGTAGCTCGAGACGGGGGGATGTCTTTCAGCCAAGGTTGGATGATAAGGTGCGGGAGCTGCTGCCGAGCTTTTGGGATGTGTTGCGCGTGGCGGCTAAGTTTGAGGGGAAGGAGGATTGGGTGGAAGTGGAAGTTGATTTTGCATTGAACAAGGTTGAAGAGAAGGTGAAGTGGGAGATCAAGGCGCGAGAGCTCGAGGGTTGAGAGGGCGTTGGCATCGTGAGAGTATTTTGGGTCGTTGTTGTTTTCGGTCTTTAATTATGCATTTTTGTGCTTTGGTTTGTTACCCCGATCGGAAGGGGACAACGTTACAGTTTACATACCCTCATGAGGGACATATTTAGCTATGAACGCAAGCTATAGGTCTATATAAGAAGTCATCTATAAGGAGCGTTCTTGTCTTCTCATAGGAGCTTGTAAGCGGGATTATAGTATCCAATTATTTCAAATCTAATGCGACTTGACATGCTTTCGCTTCTACAGAATACCCCTCAATGGGGTGATGAATAATGATCTCTGCCCATCCGCCATGTGTAGTGGCAATTGACCACGATCAACTGAACGGCGCCATTGTTGTCACTTTCCATTCCTCGCTGATGGACATGCTTACTGCATTCCTTTGAACAGATATACTGTATATAATAATTGAAAATTGAAACACTTTCATCAACAGCCAGTAATGGCATCGGGTTTGTGGTCTAGTGGTATGATACTCCCTTAGCACTATCATCACACCTTGTGACGAGTCCTATTATGGGAGTGGTCCCGGGTTCAATTCCCGGCGAATCCAACTGTTACAGGTTCAATTCCTGGCATATCATCTTTTTTGCCGGCGTTCGGGATACTCCTGTGGTGTTGAGGCGGGCTGATAGAGCGGGGCGGGCGGCAGAGCGCGGAAATCCAAGGCTTTGCGTCTCCAGGTTGCAAAGCCGAACTCACGTCTTTTTTTTTTTTGTTGCATTCTGCTCCCAACTGAGCGCCTGAGTAACGATTTTGCCTTGCCCTCGTGTTGAATTTTGTGCGTGCCCGGTCGGTGGGGCTGAAGTATGAGAAAAATTGCACCGAACAACTCGGCCCGAGATTCGGGCTGTCGCGCGGCCCGGAAAGCATGGCAAAGCCGAATATTACTTGGGTAGCTTCATTGCCATTCTAACATTCACTACTGCAAGGCCTTACCCGATCACCTCAAGTCCCCATTCCTCAAAAGGAGTGCTTGGGATGTTTGTATCAAAAATGACCGTGCGCATACAGATGCATTCGAGACTCCGAACGGACCAAGACGCACGTCCACACCAGCAACACCAAATGCTCTCCACCGCACAGAAAAACAAAAATGTCTAGATACAAAGTAACTCAAAAAAAACTCTATATATGTCCACTCCACACATTGCCCGCAACCCTACCAAAAACCAGGAAAGCGGGCCAAGGATCCGTGAAGTCCAACTCCAGCCAAAGGGGATCGGCCATACGGAGCCCTGTTTCGCTATACGGACGCTGTAGACAGAGTGGCGGCATGGAGCATTGAAAAGAAGTGCCGCACTCACGGGAAAACATCCGAGATTGCTATGTTTTTACGTTTGAACAAAAATAAAAAAGAAAGTCTGGAAACTTGCATTGAGCTCCCGAACAGCATCTGTCCTCGAACCGACGGCCTCGACATTACTAGTGTCGCACTCTACCGCTTCTGCGAGGGTGTGTGTGAGTTGTTGAGAGAAAGAGAAAAATGTGAGAAACACACAGCTATAAGGGCGGCTTTTTAGTAAGCGTTGGTTGCGTGGCAGTGGAGAACGATCATAAGCGTTTCATGAGGATATGATCGGCACGTCGAAGAGACACAAGAGAAGTTTGGTGATGGAAGTGTGTAATGACTGTCAACAGTATGATGTTGCTAGCAAACTATGCCGCTACGGAAAACTTTAAACTCCGAAATCATTCTCGTGATATCAATCTTCTCACAACTCTCCGTGCTCCGGAGATTGCTTCTCCTGTTCCTCCATAATGTCCTCGACATCAATCTTCACAGGCTGCTGCTTGGCTTCCTTGTCCTCAGCAGGCTCCTTAGCCTCAACGACAAGGCCCTTTGGCAACTTCTCCTTCTTGCCCTCGCCCATTTTCAAGGAGTCGATCCAGCTCTCCACAGCGTTTCTGCTGTATTCCGCACCGTCGTACTTTTTGTACCATCCCTTCTTCGCATTGAGAAGCAACATCCCAACGCCATCCTTCTTGAGGCCAAGGTCTTTCCTCAGTTTCTCAGCTGAATCATTGTCCGCTGGCACCCTGTAGATCGGGAATAGTTGATGTCCGCCCTTCTTGTGCTTCTTCAGCACCTCGCCCAAGCTGGTGAGAGCTGTCTGAGCATCTTCAGGAAGCGGCTCTTCCGCGTTCACCTGCGGAGGGAGGAATGCCAGCACACACTGCCTGGCCTTGGAAGTGAGACAGGCGGTTTCCAACTCTGAAGAGGTAACAAGTACAGGAACAGTAGGAGGGAGGTCCTTGATTTCAACAGGCAAGGGAGTGTCATCAGTAACCACGTTAGGGTCAGGAGACTCGGTAGGGTTGTTGTTTTCCAACGTCTCCGTCGAAGCCGTAGCTTTAGCGGCGGAAGAGTCCGCAGACTCATGAGACTTGGATGCGGCAGAGAAGGCGGACTTCTTTGAGTCGTTGGCCTTGGAGTCCTTTCCGTTTGTCTTGTCGGCTTTGCCCTTGGAAGGAGCAGGGTCCGGGTTTGGCGACGCGACTTGCGAAAAGAAGGCAACCATTGGCTCTTTCTTCAGCTCGCCATCATATACAATTGCTTCTTTGTCGCCACCCGGGAGCAAGATCAACGTCGGGAACTTTGTGACGCCAAACTTCTCCAGAGTCGCCTTTTCCTTGTTGCGTACTTGCGCGACCTCAATGCTGCCCAGAAAGTCAATAGCCAATGACCGTAGTAGTGCGCTCGTAGTGCCCTTCTCCGTGAATAGCATCGCCTTCGGGGCTTCCGTGTTCTCCTCCAGCCAGCCCTCGATATCCTTGTCACCCACTCTCTTCACATGGTTTGGAATCTTGTCGGCAACGTAGTCTACGATGGCCTTGGCGCTCCGGGCGCCTTGGTAGTCCTCAACAACTGGACGGCCAGGCTTCTTGCCTGGGCGGACGACCTTCAGGGTGGGAAAGCCCTTCACGCCCATGGTGGCGCAGAAATTCTTGTTGACATCCTCGTCGCAGTTTACGGCAGCAACCTTGGCTAGGCCGGCAAGGTTCTTCGCGGCTTTTTCGTAGGCGGGCTTAAGATTGCGACAGTGGCCACACCAGGGAGCGTAGAATCTGAGGGGGGGTCAGGGCATTATCACCGGCGTAAAGTTGTGAAAGGCTTACTCGACAATCTGGACCGAGTCAGCAAAAATCTATGTAAGCAGAGCTAGCACGAGCTTACAGAAGTATGGTTGGACTTGGCAATGAGCCTGTCATAGTTCTTTGCGTCGACCTGAACAACAGGCGAGCTCTTGGAGTACATGCTCTCAGCTACCACGGGCGCTGAGAGCAGAAGCGTAGCCGCCGCAGCAACCAATGGTTTGAGGCACACCATGATCGCGGCGAAGCTGCACGGGAGGCAGGGGAATCGAGTGAGTGAAAAGACAGGGCGGAAAAGGAAGAATTGCGGCGTGGAAGGGTTATATTGGCAGCTCTTGCAAGCTGGCCTCAGTGACGCCAAGCTCGTTATGCGCGGGGTTTCTAGAAGACATGATCTCCACCGCTAAACTTTAGCGTCAATTGGAGCCGAGGCGGGCAGGCCGGCGCGGTCGCGGTCAACATCAAGCTGCACCACCACCCCGCTCCATCCCAGCGCTTTCATTCTCACCATGGCAAGCAGACTCCCCGCTGAAATCTTGCACTTTGCAGTCCGCGCCACCCAGCTCGAGAAGGCGAACCCGTAAGTCCCGCCCCCACCGAACTCACGAGACAGGCAGCTCATGTGCTCTGCAGGTGAACACTACATAGCTAACTGGATAATCGGCAAAGGACTGCACATCATCGATAAGAATTGCATGGGCTACATTGCTACCCTAATAGACAAACTCGAGCAGATCAAAACCAAGATCCAGCGCTCGGATAACAACGCCATACCTGACGACGTCGCGCTACGCGCGCTAGGTACATTCCTGAGGGCAGATATTATTATACGGACAAACAAGGTTCCGGCGTGAGCAGGGCTCCTCGCTACTTCTTACCCGGAGTAGGAACGTCAGTGAAGTTGAACGGCCAATTTATTTCGTGCATTTCTTAACCTCTTATAACGAGACAGAGGACGATACAAGCAGTCCCTACAGAGTACTCCGTGCCTATCTCACAGCCCGAGTCCTGGGTATATATGAAAAGATCTTAGAGCACACACAGACTCTGCATGTTTTAACTATGTCTCTTCTACTCCGTACAAGCATCACCATCTCACAAGACGGTGAATCTCGCTTCACGGTGACGGACGTTACGAGTCTTGTCGCAAAATAAATCGGTGCTTTATGTATAAGTCACCTTAATCTGCACGTTGATACCATTAAACCGTTTGAATTCGCAATACTGCTAATTTAGTAAAGAGGTTTTATTTTATCAGGAAAGATCAAACTTTAGCCGTGACGCTAGGTACGTTAAGCACTTTTGTCATTTCTTGTCGGCAGCTTCGATCGTAAATCTAAAATCTGATCCAAAGAAGACCATTCCAAGTCTACATATTATGGCGAGAAAGCTCTCGTCATGCCATAGCACAATATCTAAGCAGTAAACGGACCAGAAGCAACCTGCTAGCCGCTAGCTTCTGTTTGTGCGGTCGCCATACAACTTTCTTGCTTCTTCTCTCCCTCCTTGCTTTTCTCATCCTCATCCTCGCCCTCCTTCTCTGCGTCCTCCTTACCCTCCTCTCCCTTTTCCCAACTCTCACCTCTCAAATAGTTCCACGCCCCCATCGCTGCCATCCCCACCCCGGAAGCCGCCTGCACCGTCCCCGCCACAATTGCGGCCCCATATCCACCCATCGCCGCGCTCTGCAACGTCGCGAAAAGACCCCCACTAGCCACCGGCGCCCAAATCGATTGCGCGGCGCTCGCCAGCGAACCTTTATCACACAATAAAGTCAACTCCGACTAGAACACAACTCAGAGACAGGGCAAGCAGCAAGCGTGTACGTACCAGCAACAGGCCCCGCAGCGCCAAACCCAACAGCACCGAGGACCGGCGTCGCAGCCGCGAGCGGGAATAACATCATTCCGCCGCCGACGGCGTAGCACGTGGCTTGTAGGGGATGCTCGCGGATCCAAGCTTGTGCATCCTGTGGCAGGGCGTCCCATTTGATGGCCACGAATTTGCCATGGGCGGCAGCGCCCGCGTCACGGAGATGCTCCTGGACGTTGGCGGGGAGGGAGCTGTATGAAATCGGTTCGGCTTCTGGGGCGAGGTGGTTGTCTCCCTCTGTGGTGTTGGGAGAGGGAGAGGGGGGATGTTCTTCGGGCGGCTGGTGTGTAGTTGATGGTGACATGTTTGTTTGGGAAAGGTTTGACTTGCTTGATTGATTGAAAGTTGTGCGAGGAGGTGAAGTTGAAATAGTAGAAGGATGGCCAGCTCGCGAGCGTGGGCTGTATGTTGAATTAAGTCTCTGCCAACAGTAGCTCTTCCTCGTACGTATACTTACAGACGCATTTCGGTGCTTAATTCTTAACACCCGGTGCTGGTCGCTTAGCCTATTGCTGTCACTCGCTGGGACTGCCGCTGGGTATCTACTAACATCTGCTCAGCCTACTTGGTATGCTGTCGCTCGCTAGTTCCCTACTGGCTCTGTCGCTGGACCTCTGCCGTCGTTCGCTAGGCTTGCGGATATCTGCTTGTCGCTCGCGAATTTTCGTAGCAGTAGCGAGTACCCGGATGCGAACGTTTACGAGCTTTTATCGCAGCAAAAGGGTTTGGGTAGCTGTGGTGAATAACTTTTGATGTTTCAATCCGCTCCACTCCTACCTAGAAAAGATGGTGTATGGAGTTGGTGGGGGTGGAAGGTGGGGAAGGATGATGGCGAGTTTTATGCGGTAACTATTACGTATAGATTGTTTGCTAAATATGGCTCAAATAAAGAGGTACATGCGATCAAACTCATTGGTATGCAATCAACTGTCTGCTTGCTAAAGCATCAGTCCCCAGAAGCTGGGTTTCTTTCTGCGGTCAGTCTGGTGATTCAAGTATCCAATCTGCCTTGGGCCCCAATTCGCTCACAAAGGTACTTATCCTATCCACCATCCAACCCGACACCATGCTTCCTTCCTTAAGCTCGGCGGATCCCAGCCTTACGACCTTTCCAAGCTTGCACATACCAGCGGCAAACAGCCACTGCAAGCATTCTGGATTTGCCTCGCACTTGACGAGACACGAATGCGGGCCCTTGTTCGGGGCGAGCTCTTCCTCGATATCCTTGCTGATATTGTCCCAAAAGACTCTGTCTCCGGCGATGATCTCAGGCCCTACGAAGTCCAGGAACACGTCTTTGTGGCGAAGTATTGTTTCATTCTACGAGACAGTGAGCAAGGTTTTCCCTAAGGATTATGATAGTACGGCTCAACTTACCCCGTATGTGCCATTGATCCACTTCTGTTCGTACTCCCACATGCCATCTATCCAAGGAGATGGCATGTGGTGGTAAGACACTACGGGGTGGGCCATATGTTTAGCCGTATAATCCAGAGTGAATGGCGTCTCGCCTTGCATAATGGGCCATGTGGCTGTGAGTGAGATGTTGAGGGTCTTAAACGCCAGGGATAGGATTAGATCGCCGGCGTAGTGTTTTTGCGTCAACTCAATAAATTCCGCTGTGCTGCTGTTGTACTTTTCGACAAGCATTGTGAGCGCCTTCTGTGAGATTATGATGCCGGTGCCTCCGTGGGCAAACACTTCTCCGCCAAGCCAGGTTTGCCCACCTAAAGTGGGAGTTGGTTAGTAGTCTTTCGACATTGAAAAGAATACAATACGAGAGAAGCTTGATCGCTAACAATTATTAGCAGATAATAAGAGACATCACGGACCGATATAATATGGCTGCGTATGATCGAAGAGCTCAAGCCACTGCAGAAGATTCGACCATACGATGTAAGTATCCGCCTCAATGAAGACGAACCACTTCGACTTCGAGCGGGTCTCCAGCGCCTTCTTCATAAGCGGCAAAAACTTCCACTTATCTAAATCCCAAGCGGCATGACGGACTTCTTCGTTACTGAGTCTTCCCAAATTGATTCCGTCGGCACGAAGCTCGCGCATCTTATCATAAAACCGAAACTCCGGGCTGTCTTGTTTGATTTCCTCTGGGATCTCATACAGCGCGTCATGAATGGTGTGTCCGTGGATTTCCTCTTCGAGGTCTGAGAATATCGCGTAGTGCGGCGTGCAGCGAAACGTGGAATTGAAATGGGTAGGTAGCTTTTCGTGGGCCTCTGTAGCGCCCGTCTTCATTATGACAAGAACATCTTCAGCACCGGGAAGTTGCTGGCATGGATAGGTAGTTTTTGTCGGAGCTTCCGGTTTAATCTCTGCTGTTTCTTGCGGACGAGCATCCGTCGTTTTCTCAGGCTCAACCTCTGTTGTCTTGTCAGGCTCAATCCCTGTAGTTTTCTCAGGTTCAATCTCCGTCGTCTTCTCAGGCTCAACCCCCGTCGACTCTTCAGGCCCAATCTTTGCCGACTCAGCGGGCCCAACATCTGGCATCAATGACTCTCCGGGCCGAACATATTCGACGCCTGTCTCATCTTCCCCGGCCCAAAGATAGCCACTGACCCAGTCTCTTCTTGAACTCGAAAGCAAGAAACAGAAAAACAAGAGCGACAAGCCGGCAGCAATCAGCAGCTGGGTCCAGCGACGGGAGCTGGCCGGAAATGCGAGCATGAATGAGATCAATTGGAGTCGCTCATATGTAAAAGAAAAGAGAAGTGAGAGGGGGCTTCAATCGACCGCGGGGAATCTGGACAAGTAGCAAACACAAGAAGTCCCGCGTTTTCTAGTGGTGGGACGGAAGGAGGGGATTCGTTCCATATTTGGCCCTGCAAGGGTAGCCTCCACACTGTGTGCTTCTACGCGCCCGCGCCCTTCCGCCAGCCAATCCGCGCCCTGGCCTGCCAATAGCGAAATTTCCTTTTTTCGTTAGCATCTACCGCGTTCTGGAGGGCAAGTCTGATGTTATCAGCCGCGGTGCTACTGCTCCGTGCGCGGGTTCCTCAAAACCCGCAGCGGCCCGATCCTCTCTTTCTTCAAGACTACTACCAATCAAGTACTCGGTACGACTTGCCTCTTCTCCCGACTTCTTTGCGTGAATCAACAAGTGGAGCCCAAGGCGGGGAAAATACTGCCAGCGATCTTATCGTCTCCGCCTCCGTGGTGTAGCAGGGGGCGACTTCGGCAACAGCGACGAGAACAGTCGACCGCGACAGCGTCAGCGTCAGCGTAGCAACGACAACAACGTACAGTACTTGATGACCTCGCGCAGGTCGCTGGGCGGAGGACGGACGCTCGGCAGTGCCAAAGCGCTGTCGCCCGCTGTTTCGCCTCGTCCACAGCAGCACCGCAATTCCAGCTTACTGTCGCCTTCCGAGAGCTCCGTATCTCTGGCCTCGCAATCCTCCTTCTCCGCCGCCTCGACCGCCGAACCGCAAGACCTCGCCTCGCGCGTCACCCTCGAGCAGAATGACAATGTCGCCGTCGCCTCGGCGAGCTCCAGGCTTGTCTGCCCCATATGCAACGAAGAGATGGTCACGCTGTTGCAGCTCAACCGGCACCTGGACGACCTGCATCAAAACTTGGAGGAGGTCGAGCAGGATGAGGTCAAGACGTGGTTCAGGACGCAGATGGTCAAGGCCAAGAAGTTCCAGCCGCTCGCCGTGCTCAACCAGAAGCTCAAGGGGCTCGACGTCTTTGAATCAAACGACACACCTGTTGCGGTCGCGGCCTCTACCATAGGATTGTCCGGTCCAGAGCCATCACGGCAAGATCCGGATGAAGTTGTTACAAGAGCGCACTGGCAAAGGCCGGGCTATGCAGATCCCTGCAGTGAGCCGACCTGTGGGAAGAAGCTGGGGGCTATGAATGGGACTGTGAATTGCAGAAAGTGCGGGAAGCTTTTCTGCGAGGAGCACACGATGTATCAGATGAAGCTGTCGCGGTCAGCCCAGCATGAGCCGGTTAGGGGTTTCTGGTGCCGGGTCTGCGAGACATGCTACAAATCTAGGGAAGGCTATAATGACCACCACGGTTTCGAACGCAATCACACTGCGGCTTTCACAAATATCCGAAGAAAGCATGTTGATAAGGCAAATCTGGAAATCAGTCGGCTGGAAAAGCGCTTGACTAAGCTCACACAACTTCTGGCCAACCCTCCACCTCCTGAACCAAACACCAGGGCAGGCGGCTTGCTATGGCCCTTGTCCGGTGCAAAAGCTCAGCAACGAGCCTTGGAGCAATCCATCATTGCTTGGGAAGATGATGCCAACGTTTTGCAATGCCCATTTTGCCAACAGGAGTTTACCAGTTACTCCTTCCGACGGCATCACTGTCGACTATGCGGACGCGTTGTATGCGGTGATCCCAAGACGGGTTGCTCCTCTGAGGTTGGCTTGAACGTCGCCGCACCGACTGACCAAACGTCCGAAAAACCTTCGGCCCAGTTGAGTCTAGATATCCGCATGTGCCTGGACTGCAAGCACACGCTGTTCAGCAAGAGCGACTTTGCTCGCGAACTCGTCGACAGGCCTCGCGACCAACGCGCGTACGAAAACCTCACCCAGTTCAAGCGGGGGATCCGACTACTGCTGCCCAGGTTCCAAAAGCTGCTTGCGGTTCTGCAGAATCCTGACGATCCGCCAACGCCGACGCAGCTTCAAGACGCGACCAAAGTCCGGAAACGGCTTATGGACGCCTTTGCGCAGTTCGACACGGCGGCGCGCAGGATTCGTGACTTGCCGACGGATTCTCCCACGCAGAAGCGACTGCAAAAAGCTGTTTACCAGCAATCGTACAACTTCCTCAGCCTTCACATGCCGACGTTAAATGCTGCCAACAACGGACTTTCGTTTTCTGGAAACCTACCCGCTGCCGCAGCGCGAATTACAAGCTGAAACGCCCGAATCAGTGAGCCGTGCCGGTGGAATGTTGCAAGCTGGTCGTATGATGCGCACACTAGGTACTCGTACCTCGCACTTTAACTCCGCTGCCGTCTGTCGTCTCTGGTCTAACCTCGCTTAGCAGCTGATTGTCTTGTCCGAACTCCACAGCATACCCGAGCCATGCAGCTTCCTTCAACAATGATGGTCTGTGTGCAGTCTAGACCTCGGGAACTCTAAACAGCCCTGCCCAGGGTAACAATCGAGCGTCATCTGAAGAAAACAATCTGTCACTAGATGTATCTAACATCCGTCACCGTGAAGCGAGATGGTGATACATGTATGAAGTAGAAGAAGAGACAGTTAATTAAGGCGTGTAGAGGCTCTGTACGGAGGAGAAGAAGAGACCCAGTTAGGATATGTAGAGCCTCTGTGTGCTCTAAGACGTTTCCACCCATACTCAGGACTCGGGCCGGGTGCTAGGCAAAGAGTACTCTGTAGGGACTGCTTGTATCGTCCCCTGTCTCGCTATACGGTGGATCTCGCTTCACGGTGACGGACTTTCTTGCGATACATGTGCTTCGTTACATCGATTGAATTACTTCGTGTACGGTGCGGTAGTAGTCAGGTGATGATGAACGCAGCCTACCTACACACTTGCGTCCACTCTATCCAACCAACCTACCCATCAATCTCACAACCGCGCCCGGAAAGTCGCGACCTCAAACGGCCTCAATTCAATCTCCACACCACACCCACGGAGTTCCAACTCCTCGCCCTTGTCCTCCAATAGATTCGTCTTCTCAACACTGCGAACTGATAGCGCCGGGTTCCACTCGATACGCCCGCGTGCCCGCCCACCTAGCGCATCGTATACACGCAAAATGAGGCTGCGGCCGTTCTTCCCGACCGTTAGCGGGTTGTCGTATGCCACGTCGGCGTCGTCCTCGCCGCGCTTGAGCGTGTCGAGGACCAGGGCCGGCGAACCCGTGAGTCGGATCGCGCCCAGCAGCCGTGCGAGCTGCGTCGCGGGTGCGGAGTGCCGGTGCAGCGTGAGAGGGTTGTTGAATGCGAGGGCGGTGCGGACGGTGCGGTGGTCGAGAGGGCCGAGGTGAGGAAGGATGGCGTAGCGGATGTGGTGGCGGCCTGATGAAATAAAGTGTCAGTTTCTAACCTTGCTCGCGTCGGGATTATGTGACTGAGGATAAGAAGTACGTACCCATATCTGCGTGCGCATCTGGCGCCTTTGGCGCCCTCAGCAAGCTTAGTCTCATCAGATTTCCGCAAGTCGCGAAACCATATTTCGAGTCATTGAGGATCGAGACGCCATAACCGTTCTCGCTCAGGTCGGCCCACTTGTGACAGCAAACCTCAAACTTGGCCATGTCCCACGTCGTGTTGTAGTGCGTGGGACGCTTAACGATGCCGAACTGCGTCTCATAGCTTGCCTCCTGGTTGACAATGTCGACGGGGAACTCAACCTTGAGGAACTTCATGTCTTCGCGCCACTCGACTTCGCTCTCCAAGTCAATATAGCTACCGGAGTCGCCAACAGCAGCTGTCAGGCTGATGGTCGTGCGTGCCCAGCTCTTCTCGCTGATCTGCGTCTCCGTCACAACTGCAACCCGGTGGGGGCCGCGCTCGCTGATGTACGACTTTTGGTTCTTGAGCTCCTTCCTTGAGTCGAGGTGATACACCTCCACGTCCCAGGCTTGCCAGTACAGCGGCTTGTCATCGAAGACGACGAGCTGGCCGGCCTTGCTGCCCTGAGGAATGACTTCACGCTCGGCGACAATGTCGTAGAGTGAGGTTATCACACCGTTAGCGATCTTGACCTTGAAGTTGTCGTTTGAGAGCTCGTAGACGTCTGAATCGACCTCTCTGATCGAGGCCGTCGGCGCCTTCTTGATAGATGACATTGGTCGCGCTTCCGAAGTATCGGCAGTGGCCTCTGCGAGACACCAATGCGGTTGATCAGACTTCACTGGCGACCTAGTTATTTCCGAGCGCGCCCAGGGAAGCGTGTTCAGGCTGCAGTATTCGCCTGCCTTCTCGTCAAACCCTAGAGCCTCTCTGGCTTGAGCCAGCAGCTGTTCTCCCGTAGCAAAAACCTTGGCATACAGCTGTCCTTTGTCAGTTGCCGGTTATTAAACACGGGGGTTTATGACCAACCTCATCCGAGTCATCGTAGCACATCTCAATCGAACTGCCAGGCAAGCAGTCATGGAATTGACACAGCAAAACGGCTTCCCACATCTCGTCAACCTCCTTCTTTGGGTATTTGTAATAGTTCTTCCCTCCGATCACTAGATCCTTGATACTGGCCAATGTCGCCAGCCATTCGATATCATGCAACAGAACTTCGCTCTTGCGGTTATTGCGCTTGTTGTTCGCCTGCGTTGTGTATGTGCCGCGGTGCAACTCGAAATACAACTCGCCGTACCACGTCACATACTCAGTTCCTTTCTCTGCCTTCTTCTCAAGCCGTGCGAAGAAGTCGTCGACTGAGTCGCCCATCTTGACGCGCGGAAGTAGACCAACCTTGTCGCTGATGGCACGGGCGCGCCGCAGTTTTTCGATGTGCTCCCAGGTAGGTCCTCCGCCGCCGTCACCCTTGCCAAAGACTAGAAGTGAGGTCTCATCTTGGTCCAGAGACTTGTGCTGTGTCACACTTCGTTTGACATCGCCAAAGTGCGCTTCGGCAGTGTATGTCTCGGATGGCGCCATGTGACAGATAACCTGGCTTCCATCAAGCGCGACCCAGTTAAAGGTAGTATGAGGGAAGTTGTTGATGTTGTTCCAACTAAGCTTTTGGGTGAAGAAGCGACTCATGCCGGCGAGACGGCACAGCTGTGGTAACTGTGTTGAGTAGCCGAAGGTATCTGGCAACCAGAAAGTCTTGCAGCGCTGTCCAAATTTGCTTTCGAAGAAGCGCTGGCCATATACGAACTGTCGAACCAAGGACTCGCCAGAAGGCATGTTGGTGTCGTGTTCGACCCAACTGCCACCGATGGGCTGGAACCGGCCTTCCTTGACCTTCTGTTTGACACGGTCAAAGACAGAGGGGTAGTATTGCTCTAGCCATTTGTATTGTTGGGCCTGCGAGCAGCAGAAGCGTAGCTCTGGATAGCGGTCCATCAAATCGCATTGGTTGGACCAGGAACGGGCGACTTTACGCTTTGTCTCCGCCCACGGCCACAGCCAACAGGTATCAATATGGCAGTGGCCAATTGCGCTGACTATAGCTTCCTTGTCGCTGTCATAGACCGCCGCCGAGTCTACATGGTCACCGAGATACTCGCGTGCAATACGACGGCACTCGACGATCGACTCCTTGCTGCCGTTCCCAGCAATAAATTTGTCCATGATTGCAAGGCACACCTGAAGTGCACGGTGGGATTCCCAGCCATCCTGCGGGAATTCCCGTGCAGCATCTAAACATCCGTTAGGCCGGGGACCAGAACACATGTACTAATTTGGCTTACCTCCAATTATCCAAAAATCAATATATAGCTGGCGCGCCTGAAGGTTGACGGCCACTATATCTGCCGTGGACAGCTCAAAGTACTTGTCCGGCTTGGGTGGCTGGATCGAGTCTCCGCCAGGTGCGTTGCCAAACATGCCATTGCATGCCATCTCGACATAGAACACATGCTCTTTGCCATCCCGCCATTCATCGGGCAGTATCCATTCGGTCCTCTCTCCATTACCCGTCAACCCATGTACTGGCTTGCCATCCTCCGTCCAGATGAGACCCTCGTTATGCGCGTCCCAATGGAACTCGAGATGCTCCTTGTCGTGCAGGTCCGAGGGAATGGTCAGCTGGACACGGAACCAGTGTGTCGACCAGCTGGGACCAAAGGAAGATTTGACATGGGTGGGCTGGAACTCGTGGGATGTGGCTTCGGCGAAGGTCGGACGCGAGAGATCAGGCGGGCTGTAGACGGAAAGCTTGACGTGCGGGCTACCGGATTTGCGGACTTCGTATAGCTTGCTGTGCGGAAGTTGTTAGAATTTCACGAGCGGGAATAAGGAAGCGGTGATGGAGATGCTTACGACAGAAGCCCCTTGCTCGCGTACTGGCCGCCGCTGGTGAACTGCCTCAGACGATCGAGGTAAATGCTATGGATCTGCTTGCCGACGGGACGGGCGGCGAGCTTTGGGTATTCGGTCGAGGATGCCATGTTGAGATGTGTTTCTCCGCCCATGGTGATGGCGGACGGGCAATAGCAATAGAGGATTATAAGCTGCGGCTCGGTCGCGCTTGCAGCTCGTACGTGTAACCTTGGTTGGAGCTCGGGAGCTATGGGAGCTAAGGCCTACCCCGCCTGGTGACGCCAACCGATCACCGGGTGCGCTGTGCTTCCCGCTGTTCCTGGCCGCCCGCACGTCAGTTCACGTCACAAGAACATGGTCACGATCACGGATGCATCGAGAGAAAACTGCTTGCATTCATTGGGCTCGTCTTGGCTTCACTGGATATGCTCCAGCTACTGGTCACCAGTACTGCGTAGAAGTGCGAGCCCGCGCTGGTGTACCTACGTAGAACACATTAGCTTTAGGGGGAACAGGGTGATACGTACCAAATCGGCTGTGAATATCGATGCGCGTGCTCAACCTGCGACAGAGGTCAGTAAGATCCACATGGAGGAGGGAGGGGGAGGGTGATGCTTACCAGTGGTGGTGCGATACTACACCACCATCCATCACGACGACCTCTCGAATGCTGCCCCGGCCAGTTAAGTAGAAAAGAGAACACAAAAACAATGCAACAACGAACAAGGCCACAAAGAAACAAAGAAGCAAAGCAAGAAACAAGGAAAGAAACAAGGCAAGAAACAATACCCAAGCCAACAATAGAACAGCCACCAAGGCCTTTTTTTTGCCTCCACGTTTTGACCCTTTTGAACTTTTTTTGTGTTTTTGTTTTGTAAGAGCAAGCAGAGAAACCATGCGAAACCAATAACAAGAAGCAGCAGCAGCACATCCAGATCCTGGTCCGGGGCCGCGTCCGAGTCCAGCTGATCAGCAGTCCATGTCGACGTCGCCATCGTTGTCCATCCGAGGAAGCCGTCGCAGCCGAGGAGGATCCACTTGCAGTTGTACCAGGACCTTTTTCTGAAAGTGCTCTTCGTAGCGCTGAGGCCGCATCCACCGTTCGAAAGTCCGGACTTCGTTCTTGTCTTCCTGTATGGTCACGGATTTGGCGGCCTTCTTCCTGGGCTTGATGCTGAGCTTGGTGCTGAAGTTGACGTTGGGCTTGCGGAGGATGGATCGGGGCTCCCAGTCGATATAGCAGGTGTACAGCGTGGCGTTCGGACTGAAGGAGACTGACTTGGCCAGCCGAGATACCTTGGGGTCCTTGAGGATGCTGCGTCCAGGCTTCCATGGAGAAGGCGGCGGCGGCGGCGTCCACTGGGAGTACTCCAAGGTGTCGTTCAAGTCTTTCTTCCAGGAAACGGATTTCGATGGACGCTTGCTGCAGGGACCTACGTGTCGCAGAAGGCTCCGGAGACCAGTATCCAGAGAGGTTGTCGGGAGGATACAATTCGTGCATTTCCGGGGACGACGGATGGTGACCTTTAACGGTTCGAGTTGCCAGAGCTGGATCGGCGGCTGGGGAGCGGGCTTGGGCGCGGTCAAGGCGAGTGCTGCTGCGGTCTTGAAGTCGGGATCCAGGCGATCGTCTCTGTAACTGAAAGCAGCAAGCAAAACCGGCAAACATACTCGAACGAGGTAGAGGAAGAGGATGAAGAGGATGAATGGGAAGGCGGGACGGGAAAGGAGAGAAAGGGAGAGAGAAGGGGAGCCCGCCGGGATTTGCATCAACGGCAGGGAGGGAACAGTGAGAGGAGAGGAAGGATAGGATGTGTGCAGGTGTGAAGAACAGTTAGCGATGAGTTTGGAGAACTTATCGAAGAGAAGCATTAAAATGCTAGACAGATGCTACAATGTTTGTAGGATCCTGTGAAGAGGAAGTTTAATATGGTGGGGGAGCTGGCGTTTATATAGACGTACCCCCAACCCCCTACGCAACCGTTATCAAGGCAAACTCTTGTTGCCATGAGAACGCACGAGAGCTAGTGATGAGGGTGACTGCCATGGTGGTGAATGATTGTCACGATAGGTGCTAGGCCTGATGCTCAAAGGAAGCGCACACCACCGATTGAACCGACAGAGGTATTGAGCAAGCCATTCACGGCCTCCAAGCTCTTTCGCATGAGTTACATGAAATTTCCTTGCGTATTGTGTAGACTATCCTGAAATGTTGCGAGCCCGGTGTTGAGCATTAGGGACTGCCCGCAGCGGTCGCCGACGCACCATTTATTGCCATGACAACGGCTTCCGCCAGCAGGATATTAAAAAGGCATCGGGACGAGGTTATGTAATCGATCAACTTTTCTGATATTTCTTCCCGAAGGTCTGCTGGCTAGTAACTGTCCCTTACTAGCTGGTCGATTCTAAAGCTTCTCACAATCTTAACGGGCGCCGTCCTGAAACCAGCGCGCTCTTCTTAACACTGTCACGCAGTAGACAGAAACATAAGCGTTTCAATGGCGCGAGAGAAGTCTTTCGTGAAGCGTGTGTGAAAAAGCCAAGAGTACAATGTTAAAAAGCATAAGAGAAAACCAGGCCCGTGTTAGTAGCCACATCACCAAACTCAAGAATTCAAAAACATCGTTCTATCATTTTCGAGCAGAGCTATCGCGTTTTCAAACGCGGAAAATACATTAAGAAGGCCATCTAAGGCTTCTCAGCTTCCTGCTCAGCCTTCTTCGCTTCGATGTTTTGCTTTTCGACGACGTCTGTCACCTTGTCCTGCGCTTGGGGTTGGTTCTCGTCGGTATCGTCAATGTCCTGGTCATCCTTGGGCGTCCTTGGTGCGCTCGTTGCGCTAGCACCCGACTGCGACTGCTCGTTCTCCTCCTCAATCAGCTCCTGCTGCTCCTTCAGGACCTCCAGACGCTGCTTGTTGGTCGCGGCACCCTCAGCAGTATGCACCTCGAGCTCAATCTCGTGGAACAACTCCTCAGGGATGGACGACAGGACAGCCTGCAGAGCATCGATCTGCGTCTCCATCTCCGTCTCCTTGCCCTGGCCGTACATGAAGGCATTGCTGAGGACCAACAGAGTCGACGGCACACCGTACTTCAAGCGCAGTTCCAGCCAAGTTTGCAAATCATCCCGCAGGCGGCCGGGGCTCATGCCCTGGGTACGCAGACCACGGCTACCGCACGCGCCCTGAAGCTCGGGAACGGAAAGAGATTCAACGCCCTCAATGAAGATCATCTTGTCGTCACGCTTGATCTGGCGCATACGGTGCCTAATCTGGTAGCGCAGGATGTTGTCGGTGCCGAAGGCGTTCAGGTTCATGTATTTGCAGATGCCAACGAGCTGCGGCCGGGAGAGGTTGTCCAGAGTCAAATCATCCTTGAAAATCTTGCAGACCTTAATCACATCGGCCTGGGTAGGCGACTCGCCAGTACTGCGGATCTGCAAACCTCGTCAGCAGTTGCGAAAACAGCATCGATTGGAACACGTACCTTGCGGAAGAATTCGGTGAACTCCTCACGCTGCGCATTGGCTGCGCTTAGCGGCAGACCAGTCTCCTGCAACGTCTGGCGAAGGAAACTGCTGACTTCCTTACGTGTAGCGCGGAGATTGGTCACTTTGTTGTCCTTGGACTTTTGACCCTCGTACGTGCTGGGCAGCATGTTGGGGAAAAGCTTCAGTGCAACGGGCAAGAGCAATTCCGCAAAAGGGACGATGACGAACATGGAGAACGGCACCAGCCGACCTAAGTCCTGAAGAGTGCGGCGGAGCTAAATATGCCCAGTCAATATTTTGACACCCAAAATTACTCGATGGGCGTCCTACCTGTCTATTCTCGCGGCGAGATAGGTCGTAACCAGCTGCCATTTTCAGGGCCAACTTAGTACTGATCCTGACCTCAGTAGCAAGCAACTTTGTGCCGTCCCAGTAGTGATGCGCCTCCTTCTTGACTTTTTGCCACAGCGTGAGCTTCTTGCTGGCTTCTGAATCCTTTTTGGCGGCAATTTTCTGATGCGCCTTTTCCGCAGTAGCCTTCTCCGCCGCCAACTCAGTCAGACTATGTGCTTCGGAAGCCAGGGTAGGAGCGTGAGTCGACGGCTCGTCAGTGGGGATCCTGACATCCTCCAAGACCTCCTTATCCAGGGCAGGGGAATTTGAATGCGCCTTTGCTTTCTCGTCCTTGGGGAGGGGCTTCTTGGCCTGTTCGGCGTTAAAGCCTGGCGGGGGATAATCGCCGGAGGTGTTGGACGAAGTAGAGGGTTCAGTAGCGTAGCCGCGGTAGGGGACGAGGATGGCAAGGGCGGAGACATTGCGCGGAAGGGACCTCGGGGCTCTACGCTGAGCTCTGAGAGCAGACCTCAGGAGTAGAGGCGTCATGCGCGACGCGGAGCGATTCATCGACATGCTGAGCAGCGCTCAGAGGAGCAAAAGGACGAGACCGCAGGCGATGGAAGGCCAATGGGAGGATGGCGGGGCAGTGCGGACAGGCTTAGGTGATGGATGGAAAAGGGAGGAAGTGGTGATGATGCGCAATGGGACCTAGAGGAATGCCTGCAGCTTACAGCAGAAATCGGACAGGGATCACTGGCTACGCACAGCCTTGCGTCTTGGCAGGTTCTCGAACCGCGACAGAAGCGTCCGAAGCCGGACCCGCGGAGGAGTGAGGAGGGAAGACATCGGGAAATGTCGGGCTGGCCAGCTGGGACAAACGAGTACGCGCTGCTCGGTCCAACGACACAATCACATGCCTGTCTTTCCAATCCCCATTCGCGCTTCCCCGCAGCTCCGTAGCCAGCAGCGATCCCTTTGATGAGAGCTGCCCTCTGCGGCCGTGGAGAGCAACAGCATGACTCGGACCTGCCGGTGCTAAGCTCTCCCGGTGGCCAAGCCTCCCTCAACGCCTTCCCAGCTTTCCCCACCGAAGTCCGCCGGAACGACGCCCTGCGCCAAACCGCCTCACGTCTGATATAATCAGTGCTTTATCTCATGCCACTTTGACCCGTTGTTTCTCTCTCTCTCTCTTTCTACCTTTTTTCTTTCCCTGATTTCCCTCCTCTTTACTTCCCTCCCCGGCGCCCTTCCCGGCGTCTTTCCCGGCGCACCCGTCCTCTGCCTTCCGCCGACCGCTGTCTCGCAAGATGTTGCAGCAACTTTCGCGCGCTGCGCGTATAATCCTCGTCGGTGCGCCGGGCGCGGGCAAGGGTACGCAGACCGAACGCCTCATCCGGCGCTTTCCCCAGCTATCCTCCATCAGTTCTGGTGACCTGCTGCGTAGCAATGTTCGCAGTCGCACCCCGCTAGGTACGTTGCCGTCTCAGCCCTTGCTCTAATCCAGTACTCACCATCCACGTGTTCCAGGCATCCAAGCCGAGGCCAAAATGAAGACTGGTGCACTGCTCCCGGACACAATGATGGTCCGATTGATTATCAATGAGCTCAACCTGCGCGGTTGGCTCGTGCCTGATACCATCATGCCGTATACCGTCAATTTTACCGCTCCCGGCGCTGAGAGCCTGCTGGAGAGCGTCGACGACGTCTTCATCCCTTCGCCGTTCCGCACTTCCAAGTACAACTACTCGGAGTCGCCCTCGGCCTCTTTTATCCTCGACGGATTCCCGCGCACTGCGGCGCAGGCAAAACAAATCGACGAGATAGTACCTATCAACCTCGTGGTCAACATCAAGACGCCTACGGATGTCATTCTCGACCGTATCTGCAACAGATGGGTCCATGAGCCATCAGGGCGCGTGTACAACACGACGTTCAATGCACCAAGAGTGGCTGGTATCGATGACATCACGGGCGAGCCGTTAGTGCAGAGGGCCGACGACAGCCCGGAGGTGTGGACGGCACGACTGAAGAAATTCGAAGAGACGAGTGCTCCTCTGCTGGAGCATTACGACAAGAAGTCCGTGCTATGGACTGTCAACGGAAACAGCAGCGACGAGATCAGCCCGCGGTTGTTCGACGAGTTTGCCCGCAGATTTGCGCACTAGAAAGAAATATTGGCGTTTGGGACAGGGTTTCTGGAGTTTCATACACGATGCGCAAGGCCAAGGCCACGCAGGTCGCTTTGCCGTTATTGTTTTCAACATTTCCCCTCCCCCTAGTAGACGGGGAGGTTTCACCGAATATGACGAGTTCTACGTTCTTTCTGTATCTAGCTGTGACAATGGACATATAAATGCTCTAAATAGCCATTTCCACCGTTGCGTGAGACGTCTAGATGGCTATGCCGCACAGTATCCAAGCATTGCATTGTGGACCGGAGCCGCCTTTCCCGTCAGTGGTCCGACCCGAACCAATCTTGCCCTCAACCTACCAATCGTCATCGGTCGCACGGACGCTTCAACCTCACGCATCAACTCCAAGCCCGATCTGCAGCTTCCCCAGCCCAACACTGCCAAACCCACATTGACTGCTCCATCGTCCTACGGAGTACATACATCCGCTTGCAATCATGGCCGACGACGACTACAGTGAAGGCTTCCTCGAGTGCAACGTCGACAAACCGCAGAAAGAGAACGACGGTACCAAGGATGCCTACATCTCGTACCTCGTGAGCACCAAGGTACACCTGTCCTTAGACTCACTGCCGCTTCGCGCCATATGGCAATTACCCCTCACAGGGCGAGTCGCTGCTCAGGAATGCTAATCTTTACGATTTGCCCCGCAGAGCGACTTCCAATCCTTCCAGCGCTCCGAATTTAGCGTACGTCGACGCTTCACCGACTTCGTATTCTTGTACAAGACGCTTTCGCGCGAATATCCGCAATGCGCTGTACCGCCACTTCCCGACAAGCACAAGATGGAGTATGTACGCGGCGACCGCTTCGGACCCGACTTCACTCAGCGGCGGGCGCACTCGCTGCGACGCTTCCTCAAGCGACTGACGCTGCACCCGGTGCTCCGGCGGGCGGTGCTGTTCCTTCTATTCCTAGAGAGCACCGACTGGAACAGCACGATGCGGAGCCGGCCGACGCGGAGCATGAGCGGGTCAGCGGCGGCTGACGCAGCGGCGAGCGGGGGGGTGTTTGACAGTTTCACGGACACGCTGATGGGGGCCTTCAGCAAAGTACACAAGGCAGACAAGCGCTTCATCGACGTACGGGACCGGGCGGACAAGCTTGATGAGGACCTGGGACTGGTGGAGAAGGTGGTGGCGCGGGTGGCGCGACGCCAAGCGGACCTGGGCGTTGACTATGGCGAGCTGGCCGCGCAGTGTCAGAAACTGGTGCAGCTGGAACCGGGCGTCGAGCAGGCGCTGACGAGCTTCGCCAGCAGCGTCGAGACGACGGGGCAAGGCCTGCGCGCGCTGCACACGCATACGGAACACAACTACCTGGGCAGCCTGCGCGACATGGACGCTTACATCGACGCGATCAAGTCCCTGCTTAAGACGCGCGAACAGAAGCAGCTTGACTTCGAGAGCCTAACCGACTACTTGGCTAAGGCGGCCCAAGACCGCGACAACCTCGCCAACGCAAGCAGCACCGCCGCCATGGGCGCGTCGGGCTTCCTGCGCGCCAAAATCGAGGACGTCCGCGGCGTCGACCACGAGCAGTCGCGCCGCGACCGCGTGCGCAAGCTTGAGCTGCAGATTGAACGCCTGACGCGCGAGGTCGAGAATGCAAAGAAGACATCCGAAGCTTTTGATGAGCAGACAGTCACCGAGGTTGCCGACTTCGAGCGCATCAAGGCCTTCGAATTCAAGGACACGCTGGGCGACCTGGCTGATGCTCACGTCACGTTCTTCGCCGACACAGTCGAGAGCTGGGAGGCCTTTGTGCGGCAGATGGAGAGCGAGGGCGTGCAGACGGGCGATGCCGAGAGCGTCGCTTCGTGAGGCTGGCGGCCTGGCAGACAAACAACAGAGAGGTGGAGGGGACGAAAGGAGGTATGTGGCATTGAGGCTTAATCACGCGGCGTTTGAGACGGATATTCAACCCTGGACTTATTCCCTTTTTCTTCAATTCTGATGGGCGCGCACGCTGCTTGCCATTGACGGTACGTAGCCATGGCGTCTGCAAAAGCAACGCTGCGAGAATTACACACACACGATGACTTTTGTGCTTCTACGCTCCAGCTGTTGAGAATTAATGGACGTCGGCGTGAAGTCGATGTCTCTTTTCTCCCTGTCTTTTACGCCGGCAAGACACGCCACTCGAGCAGCTAACTAGCGATGAGTATCTCAGGGTGGATTAGCTGAAAGGCTTTCACATTAATCGCACGCAAAAAGGATCTTGCTCCAATTTTGTAGTACATACATACCTACAGACAGCCGCTGACGCATCCATAAGTTAGTTGTATATTATCCAACCTTGGAATAGAATGGACAATAAATAAATGACCACGTAGAAAATGTTCGACCGGCTAAGTAATGATTCTACACGTAGTACTCGTCATGCTCCTACGCTTTCCAGTTATCTGCTCATCTATGGTGCTTTACGATCAAGCCAATACACCATTTCCGAGAAGGGGTCTTCATTCTTAACTGCATCCCGACATCATATACTAATGTATCTCAGTATGTGTCTCCACTGCAGCTATTCTTACGCTTCCTACTCACCCTACGTAACTACGCAACCAACCCGCTTTGCACGCCCCATCACTCTCCGCTGCAAACCCGCTCGACGGAACCTCACGGGACGTCTTCAAGCAAAGGCCGTCCAGCCGCCCACGACGCGGCTTCGCACCGATCCACCAGCCAAAACACATCCTACGCCAACCTATCTACCAACTGTTGCCGAGGCCGTTCCCTCGTCTTAAAGCCCCTCCCTTGCCATTGTCATATAACATGCCGCTCCAGACTGCGATCCGCTGTCGTCCGGATGCCGGTGCGGCAGGGAACGGAATCCGTGTATGGTCAAAAGCGTCTAGCAGTATGACGCGCGTGTTTCTGTCGTCGGTGGCGCGTCTTTTCGTTGCTATCCCACGTTATGCCGAGCTGAAGCTTTGGGTCGGCGAGATTGAGAACCGGGTGCTATCGGGTGGAGAGCTTACTGTGCCCCGTCTGACAGCGGCGGCTAGGCTCCGCTGGGAGCCGGTGCAGGAGCGTAGGTACTGCCTTTGAAGGTGGGAGTGGCGGATGTCGGTGCCGCCGCGATGCTGTGTCGGTAGGTCGTGTTTTTGATGGTAAGTCGGTCGTTTGCGCCCTTGTAGATGCCGTGTTCTTGACATAATCGAACTCAGCAGGCCTTTGGCGAGAGCGGCTAGATGTTGCGATCAGGCTGCTGCCTGCTAGTGAGACAAGTTTCCGCCTAACGCTTGCCGTCACTGCCACCTGGCGGCACAAGTCTCGCCAGCACCGCGAGAGAGTCCCGCGCAACCAAGAGCCTCCTTCCTCAAGGACCCAGGCAAGCCGGGTCACTCAATGAAAAAGTGTTCCCTCGAAAGACGATGGAAGGTCGCGTCAGCCCGAGACAGTGCAAATACGGGCGACACCGTGAGGAGCGACATGCGCAAGCGCAGCGGCCACCCCTCGGGTTCCAAAAACGAGCTAATCAAGAAAAGCCCCCGTAGGGACGTTACAGCGATTAGACTGTAAAGAACAGATACTACACTTGATCTAAGCCAAGAGGTAAAGAGAGCTGAAGAAGAAAAGAAGAGGAGGTGGTGGTGGGAGGGGAGGGGTATTTATAGGCGAGGGCAGAGGCTCGCTTGGGACCTCCCGGGCCGACTTTCACGGTGGAGGGAAGTGGCGGTCGTGCCTGGTCCTGCCTCCCTTGGTGGAGAGGTGGCACAGGGCTTGACCGTTGGCACCTACCTCCCGTGAAAGGCACCCGCGGAAGGCAACCGCCTGTTGGAAGAGGCAGTCAGCTGCAGAGCGCCTACCTCATGGAATCTTGTATTGCGAAAGCGTCACTTGCAAGGCACCTACCGACAAACGGGAACCCACGAGGGGGAATGCGAAACAACAAGATGAGCTTGTTCAAGAAGAGACCTTCAAACGCAACTCAACCCTGTAGCTCCTACCCAACATTTCGCTCTTCAGTTTGCAGCACTTGACCGCTGTTGGTCCGCCTTTCACAGCCGCTCCGGGTGTGATCTTGTTGGAATCCTTCCCCAACACGAAGACGTAGATCGGCCACTCCAACACCACCGTTGTTCTCAACCAAACCAAACTCCATCCAAACCAGATCCGTGACGGTAGCGAAATCAAGATGCTCGTGCGGTACAACCGTCATGCATGCTCTGTACTCTATCACCAATTTGCCGGCTTCTTGGCCCCCGGCCTCCAGAATGACAAGCCAGACAAGCCAGGCAAAAAACAAATATCTCGATGTAATTTGAAGCGTGGACAGGTCACTTCGTAGGTATTGTAGCGGTGCAGCTCAGATCACGTCATTTATGAGCTCTCGCTGTAAGTTGAAAAATCAAGCTCAACACCCACTTATTTTAGCCAGGAAGATTGCTTTAGCCGGGGACATGATCTCCCAAATAAAATGACGATGATGATGGTGCCCAGACCCCTGGAGCATCCGGCACGGCGATCGTCGGATCCGAGAAGTCATGGCCCATGCGCGTAGATCATCTATTGACAAGTCGACAGCATCTCCTAGCCTCATTTCCTCAACAACAGCGTCCGAGTGGAAGAGAGCATCCGGTGGCTCGGCGCTTACCCCAAGGGCGGTGGATTTTCTACCTCCACGATATTGGCGAGCGTCAAGATCAATCGCAGCAAGGCTGAAACGTGCCCCGTATGGAGTCGACAATCCTCAACACCAAGCGTGCCAGCCTTTTTCCGGTAGCGTCTGGCCAGACCATTATGGAACGGTTATATAGACAGGAAAGGCATCATGGTGGCTTCAGCGCAATGTCATGCCCAAGGCGCTTCGATCTCGCACTTGCCGCATACGATGTGGAAGGGGTCCTGGTCGCAAGCTGGCCAGGTAGGTTCAATCCGGGTGTGAGAGTGGTGGAGCTTGAAGCAGAGTTAATACATATGCTTATATTCTGCATATCGCTTGTGGGTGGTGGTGCTTGGCAGCTTCATTCCGTCCCGTTCCTTCGCTCTCTCTCCGTCTCTTGCTTGAAGTCTTCCTGCTCACTCTATCCTTTTCTGTTCATACCCGCGCTCGTTTGAATCTATGTCTGTTTAATCGAATCTTGGCTTGACCAACCCACATCCAGCTGGTCTGCGATTCCTTTCTTATATCCTTCTCCACAGCGCGCTGGCGCGATCTTTCTCCCCACTTCTCCTCAACGGTGCCAACGCCTGAGATGAGACCTCTTTGGTTCGGTCAAGTATGCCCTGTGCTTGTCGTCATCGTATCTCTTTGGCCAACAGTGGTATGTTATTCCTCTGTAAGACAGCCTATGTTTTTCTAACCTAAACTTGCAGGTAGCTCACCATTGGAGACATCGACATGAAGTGTCAACATTGACTACGGTCGAGACAATCAAGGCCGCGCCTCTTTTCACTCTCCAAAATGTCAACGCTACAGTGTAAGCTCCGTTCAGGGTAATATTCTCGATCACTAGTATTGTCTAACTGGGAACCAACAGGACGGAGCAACAAGCCACCACGGAAACAGTAAATCAGGTCGAGACGATGACGATGACTTTAACGGACGAGCCACTGGTCCTCACTGTCCAAAATGTCAACTCCACAGTGTAAGCTTTGCCCAGAAGCACGCGAATTGCATCGGGCACACCCTAAACAAGGCGAACAGGACGCAACAACTGGCAATGACCATGACAAAGAACCAAACGGTGATCATGACGAAAACCGACGTCGCCACAGAAACCGAAACTGTCATGATGACCATGACGCAGCCTGAGATCCAAACGGTATTCCTCATCTCTCTCGTTCGGTCCCCCCGACTACTGCTAACGCCGAGCAAAAGGTTACCATGACCCAAATGGACGTCAGCACCGTCATGCAGCCCACGACCAAGACCGTCACCGTCGAAGCCGTCGTCACCGAGACCATGACCGACAACAGCGTTTCCGCGGATACGAGCGCTCCCTCGTTCTCCTTCGACCCTTCCTCCTCGGCTGACACCTCCGCCGACACGACGCTCCTTACAGTCACCACATCAAGCGCTGCAGACTCGGCGGTGGCGGCGGCGGCGCCAGCAGCAGCGGCCACCACTACCTCTGCCCAAGCACTGGCAGATACGGATCCCGGGGCGCCGTTCGATATCAATAGTTTCTCGCTGCAGAGCGCGGTAACGGTGGGGCTGGGGAAGAGGAAGGCGAGGGGCAGGGCGAGAGCGGAGGCGGCAGCGACGGGGAAAGGGACGGAGATGGGGTGAAGAGGTTATTATACTTCTGGTTGATTCGTTTGAACGGTTGATTCGTTCGATGGACGCGTTGGCAGTAGCGCAGGCATCGCTACCTACCTGGATTATGGATATCATGTTTCTGGAGCAAGCAATGGGTAGGAGTCTGGGGAGCGGGAGGGATATTAGACATCGGCGACCGATAAATGAATGGCCAAGAAGAAAATTGTCTGGGTGGAACGGGGTGTGCTGGACGTGACGACGTGGGCGAGCGTTCTTGGTCTTTTCCTCTTTCAGCATCGACTACATAGGTAAAATAGACAACACCCCCATCCTCATCACCATCACCACCACCACCAAGGCAAGCCACCAAGCACACGAACGAACAACAAACCCCCAACCCCACACGGAATTCTAGAACCACGACCGGTCGCGCATCCCAGTCTCACCGGTCCCCTCCCCCACTGCTGCATCCCCCCCCCCCACCACAACCACCTCACCCACCCCCCACCATCCATCCACGCACCATCGTGTCCCTCCCAAGAGGCAGGAACATACCCACCACCATGAACCATCACGAACCAACACACACAAAGAAAAACCACCCTAAGCACCAAGCACCAGCCGCCAACCAACCAACCAAACCCACCCCACCGCCCCACACGCACGCACGCACGCCCACCCCTGCAACATCGAACGTAGCGCATCTGTTTACACCCCGAATCCGGCAATGCGAATTTAGCTGCGAGCAGCGTGATTGGCTGCGCGCCTCAGGGGGGCGCGCGGGAGCCCGGCCCGCCGCTGGGACACGTGGCTGCGGGGGGTGCGTGCGCGGGTATAGGGGGCGAGGCGTGGTGCGTGCGTGCGTGCGGCTGTTGGCTGTTGGCTGGGAGGGGATTGGAGGGGTTTTGGGGCTTGAGGAGGTGAGGAGGGTGAGAGAGAGGGTCGTGGGTCGTGAGGTGAGTGATGGGTGTTGTTGGGTTTGGGTGGTGGTTTTTTGAGCTGCGTGCGTGGTTTTGAGGGTGCGTGCTGCGAGCCTGAATGGCTGGCAGTGGCATGCCCCGCTGGGTATTGTTGTTTCGTTGTTTGATAAATAAATTAAGCTTAGAATTCAATATATCTACGTCAATGTTTTTTACTTCTATATTCTATAAAACATTCCACTGATTACCGGGCAGTCTCCTCAACACAGCACGCAGTGGAGGAATGAAAGACCCGGTGCCCCATTGCGCCGTCACGCGGTACTTGTCGTAGTATGTAGTACCTATATTGTACAGAGTGGTGGCTTCAACACCCACAGACTTGGTGCTTACTCCAAGTTCATTAAGCCTAATTACCGGTACAACCAGGCGGCCTACACTTGCCACGGACCACGAGATTTGCGCAGACGAACGCCTTCCAGACTGTTCTGGCCTACTTGCCCAGACCAGCCACATCGACCATCGCTTCGCCAAAACGTCCGTGGCTTTTCCTTCACGTCATCCGAGAATGCCCTTCGTGCCGCTCTCCCGCTTCTTGCCAAGGTCTACGGCATGCACTGCATTGCCAATCTTGACCTTGACCGCGTCGAATCGGACTGCGATTTTTAAGACCTCGTCCTCCATCCATTCCCTTACCACTTTGTCGGCCAATGGATTTCTCGCGTCTTTTCCCGGGGCTTCCAGACTCCATGCGAGACTGACATGGAATGCCGCTGAGTGATCATCGGCAGCTTCCAGTTTGCCCAGACCCATGTCAATGCCTTCTCCTTCGCTGGTGGCACCGTCCTTGCCATACAGCTCTGGGAAGCCGTGGGTTTTTGCGGTACGGTTGCAGGCTCTTAGTAGCGCGTTGAGCTCGTCTCTAGCTGGTTTCTGTACGCCCATGACGAGAAACCAGCGCGTGCGATCATAGTTGCTCACCCATTTGAGGCCTCCAAACTTGATGTCAAAAGGACGGGCGCCAGTGCGCTGGATTTGGGCATTCAAGGCAGTCAGAAAGGGTGCCCGCGTCTCTGTGGGGATTGGCAGAGTACGCGACAGCGAGATGTGCAGAGGAGCGGGGGTGTTGAGGGCTGTCTGCAGGCTGCTGTGGATGGTAGCACCTGCATCGGCGGAAGCCTGCACGTGTGCAATGAGAGATGCCAAGGTACTTGACTCTGCGGCGGTAGGGTGCCCTCGGTGGGCGTCAGTTAGCATTTCACAAATAAATGAAAGGGAAACAGCGGTCAAATAAAAGCAAGCACGCAAGCACGCAAGCACGCAAGCAAAAGAAGACGGCAGCTCACATTCGAGGTAGACGTGGCTCATCCAATGACCTTCCATGTGGGGAATTGCGCGCTTCCTTCCAGCGTGCAGACTGGGATCATCAGAGGTGCTCACACGCGTCGCGGTGGAGTAGAGGTCATGGAAGGCGGCCGGGAGCGGCGGAGGAGGGGGCAGATCGTTGCAGGAAGCGGATGCAGGCGTGGGCCGCTTGCGCTTTGGCGGGTGGGCGTCATGAGCATCTTGCTCCGAGTCTGAGTCAGGATAGGCGACGAGGGTCGTCATTGGGCATATGTTGCTGGAGGAACTTGAACGTTCCTTCGGGCGCTGGTGGACGTGATGTTAGGTTGGGGGGGATGATCAGGGACGCGCCCGTCGCCCGTTTGCTGCCAATTTTAGTGATCGGCGCGCTACGTCACATCAATGACGCAGGGTGGCAGCGGCTTCCGCGCGTACACACGATCCCATAAGCGGAAGCCATACATATGTACGTGGCTGCCGCAACCATCCAAGGATCATACATTATTTACTCTTAACTACTATCTCTCACATCTCTCCATCTCTCTCTCCATTCTCTTTCCCCCATAACAACAACAATACCTACCATCCATCACCATGGAACCCGCCGGCAGTGCTGACATGAAATCCGTGCGCATCCTCGTCCATCTCCAGTTGATCAACACCCATCTGCTCACACTCCTCACAGGCACACCAATACCTGATCGATCCTCTCATGGGTCCTGAACCCAGCGAGGAGACTGGTCCCGGCTCGCATTTCCGTTCCACCTTCGACTCTCTCCCGAAAGGCCGCAGTGGCAGGAACAGCTACCCATCTCCGCCCAACTCCGCCGGAAAGGAAGCTTTCCCACAGTTCCACCCCCAGACGACCGGCAGCTCGAGCAAGACGAACCCCTTCCGCAAGTCCAGCCTCAGTTCCAAGGATGGCAGCTATGTCACCGCGCAGCCAATCAGCTCCGGCTATGCCACTCCTCCCTCGTCTGCTTCTCCCCGTCGCAGCACCAACCCGTTCCGCGACAACAGTTACCCCTCGCCACCTCATTCTCGCCGCAGTAGCGACCACCACCACCGTTCTCCGGGACATCGCCACGTGACCGAGGGTCGCCCGCGCCGCAGCTCTTCCCTGCGTGAGCGCTACCCGGGTGACAGATCGGTGTACCCTCTCGATGAGCTGAGGCGCGAAGAGAAGCTTGCGCGTCGTTCGCCTCACCTCAACAAGCGCCACCTTCCCGGTCCGGACACGATCGACAGACTGGACCAGATTGGCGGCAAGTACCACCACGAGGGACCTTACGACGCTACGCTGTTGGCACGCAACACGGACATCAAGACTAGTCCCATCGCCGCTGTTGCAGAGAGCAATGCCGAAGCGCTGAGGGCGACGCCCCGGGAGAACATCATGGACGCGCTTGAGAAGCACTATCCGATTGAGGGAACGGCGGCGGTGCCGCCTGGAACGAGGGACCGCTTTGGACGCGTGTACAACTACCGAGAAGGCGAGGACATGATGATTGCTGATGGTGGAAACTACAAGAGATGGGACGATGTTGTGAGTCTCCCTATTCATACTAATGCATTCCCTACCGTGTACTAATCACCTGGCATAGGAATATCGCCCCAACGATATCAAGGGCAAGGGCGAGCCTCTTTTTGACGCCGAGGAATACGAGGCTGCTGGTCGCAAGAAGCGTGACGATGACTACGGCATTGAGATGACGACACGTCCGCGCAACAAGTCCGATGCCGCGCCCTACAACGCCGAATGGCAGCGAGAAGAGGGCGTGCACAGGAGCAACACGACGGGCCGCAAGGTGACCGAAGGCATCAAGAAGAGGATCAGCCACATCCGCAAGAAGACCAAGGAGTAAACATCTGAAAACGTCTCGATGTGTGGGTCCATAAACTGTTGAGACCCAACGGCTTCGGCACGCGTGGTATTATCACGATAGACTGTCCCTAAAGATAAGGCTTGAATTCCTTGTACCATAAGGGTGCATCAAAGACTAGGAAAAGAATGCTTGTACGATAAGAGAAGGCTTTTTTACGACATTGGACGATCATGTAATATTTAGAGCGAGATTTCATAGTGGGTATTAAATTGTACAGTAACGGTATATCACCAAGCTGTCTTTAATTGTACGTGCCTTTGCCGAATTTGTATACTTGCTTCACAGTGTCCTGGTATGATGTACTTTTTAGATTTGGCTGCACTGTAGGTTGGTGGGTGCATCAAATAGCACAGGCGACAGAACCAGCAGTGTCAGTCAAATGAAATGCAGCGGGGATGAGAATGAGCTGGAAATCTAAACAGTCCATCCGTCTATATCCTTCGTCCCAAACCTCATCAACCCACCCCCCTCAGCGACGCTACGATGCCCATCTTTCCGCCTAAGCACGCAAACAACATTCCAGATCCTAACACCACAATAACTCAGCCCGTATCGAGAATCCATCATCCTCGTCATAATAATAATAATCACCACGCCAACACCACGGCACCAAGTCAAAGGAACCAGAGGGCCAAAGCGTAAAGGGACAGGAAGGGATGGATGGATACAGTAGGAGGTAGAAAAAAGGCCCATGGATGCGAGTGCGGTTGCGGTTCTCTCTTGCTTTTTCAGTCATTCACTCCTCTCAACTCAACTCAGTCAGTCAGTCAGTCAGTCAGTCAGTCAGTCAGTCATTCCATCATTCCATCACGTCACGTCGAGTTGCGACGCACACATCTAGCTGCGACGCACACACACACACACACACACACACACACACACACACACACACACACACACACACAACAGCAGCAGCGCTCGCATTCTCCGTCCATCTGTCCTTCTCGTCGTCTCTAACCTGCTTTTTATCCGGACCTGGCCATGTAGTGTAAGTAGTGAGGTAAGTAGGTAGATAAATATCCAAAACCCCTCACGCAAGCTCGCAAGCTCGCTCACGCTCACGTCCATCGCGCAGCTACGCGCACCCATACATAGCTAGCCACGTCTTCATCCATGACCTCGTTGCTCATGCGAACAGCTTAGCCTAGCCTAGCCTAGCCTAGCCACGGCCGGCGAGGCAGTCCCGCCACGCGTCCGCACTGCAACTACCTCGGTAAGGTACAGTGCATATCAAGCGCTCCTCGCGCAGTCCCTTGCGTACTGCGCATGCGTCTTCGCTACCTACCCTAACCCACCCTACCCCAACCTACTCTACTCTCGCAGTCATCCACGCCCGCTGCACCAGTCCTGTCCTAGGAGGCAGGCAGAGCGCGAGCGAGCGAGCGAGTGAGTTTGCTTCATTCATCCATCCATCCATGGGTCAGACCGCTGGGTAGTTCTTTGTATGCATGTGTATGCGTGTGTGTGTGTGTGTGTGTGTGTGTGTGTGTGTGTGTGTGTGTGTGTGTGTGTGCAGAGGAACCGACCACACTCTCTCCATTGTCCGGGCCTGGTTGGTTGGTATATCCAGAAACCCTACGTAGACGTTGACGGCTATAGCAACTCTTCCCGCTACCGCAGGTAGGTAGGTAGGTAGGTAGTAAGGACATGCCAAAAACTGCCCCTACGCAACGCTGAAATGAGTATACGGTGCGGTCATTCATGTTCTTCCTTCGGCTCCCGTGTTCCCAACCACCTTCGGCCAGGTTGTTTGGAGGGCTTTTTTTCGACAAACAACAACAGCAGCAGCAGTCCCCACGGACGACACCAGAACTTGCTTACTAACATAGGTATAAACGCTAAACACCATGACCCTATGCTAGCAAGCCGTAGTGTCTGGCTCGGAGCGCTGGAGAGCCTGCTTCAGCTGCATGACCGGGGACTCGTACATATCGCGCTGCTGCTGCGTGTGGTGGCCGGACGGCGGATTCGACTGCATGTCGATAGTCGAGGCCGAGCCGTTGGGCTGGCTGAGGTCGACTTGGCTCCTTTGCGCAGCGGGCGTCGCAAAGGGATTGCTCGTCGCCACTCGCGGTTGCGGTGCCGTGGCCATCGGGTGGTAGTGGGTGTGGTGGTGAGCGGGATGCTGCGGGTTTGCCCATGCGTTTTGCTCGTAAAACTGCTCTTCGGCGGCGCGTTCGCCGCGTGAGGATTCGGGCAAAGGCGCGGGACGCGCGGCTGGCGGCGCCGTTGGACGATGTGGTATCTAATACTGTCAGCTTGTCCTTCTTTTGGGAACGTCTTCGGGTTACTCACGCCCATGGCGGCAAGATCCTGGTCCATTTCGGCGGGGCGTGCACTTGAAAGGTCCGGCGCTGCCGGAAATCCAACATATTTCGCCACACCGGCCAAGACGGAGACTTCGAGGTTGTAGGCTGACTGTTGCTGAATCTGTTGCGGCCGCTTCGGGTTGAACTTGATGGTGTAGTCGGCTTCGTTCTGGCCCCAGTACCGCCTCTCCCTCTGCAGCTGGGTGATGCGTTGGTTGCACCTCGTAAGGTAATCCATGCGCAGCTCGGAAATGTCATTTCTCCACTGGTTCACAATGGTGCCACGCATCGCCACAAACTGCTTTCTCGCAATGCCTCTTGCAAGGTCCAGCTTGACACTCTCTTGCCGTATCTTCTCGTCCCGACGCTTGTCAACGGCTTGCAGCATCAGCAAGTAGTCGGGATGGGTCGAGTCCGGCTGCTTCAGTTGCACCAGTTCCGTCGAGAGCTTTTCCAGCTGCTCCTCCAGGCGCCTACAAAGACTATGTTAATCAGGGAAGTATGTTGATGATGGTCACTGCTACTTGCCTTTTCTGGAAGGTCAAAAACTGCTTTTCAATCTTGTTGAGAGCTTCCAACGCATTGTGCTTGCGATCACCTGTGCCAAGCAATTAGCATTTAGGCTCCCAGTCGCCCGTTGCGTACACTTACGCTCTTCTTCGATGACACCAGCCTCCTCGGCATCCATCTCCACATCGCCAGTCTCTTCCTCCTCTGCTTCCACTGGTGTCGCAGCAGCCTCCTCAACATCGGTGTTCGCCCTTGTCCTTTTTCCCTTCTTTTGGCCTTTCTTACTCTTGGACCTTTTATTTACGGCGGGGGCCTCGCTTGCTGGCTCGGCCGTGTCCTCCTCTTCGGCGTGTGTGTCTGCTTCCTTCGGAGGTTGCTCCTCATCCTCGGCTGCATGCTCGCCCCCGTCCTTTGCTTCGGCATCATCTCCGTTCACATCGTAATGCCTCGACGAGTTGCTGCGCTTGCGCGCTGGCTGGTCGATGTCCATTTCATCGTCGATTGAGCTGAGCGCGCTGCTCGACCGCTTGCGCTTTCGCTCTCCATTGGGCGAGTCTTCCCGATCGGCTTCTGCGTCGGGCTTGGCATCGGGTAGGAGGACGTCGTCGTCGTCGTTGTCGCTCAGCTCCGACACGGTCGCCGAATGCGCGGGAGCTGCAGCTTCATTGTTGTGTTCCGCCGTCGTGGCCCTCGCTAACTTACTCGGGCTCCGACCGGCGTCTCCTTCACCACCAACCGTGACGTCTGTAGCTGTGCGCGACAGCTCGGGCGGTGAGCCCTCTAACCGCTCCGTCTCGGCTTCCGAGTCGTTGTCTTCGACGTCCGGCGATGCGCGTGTCCTCAGAGCAGCCTCATCTCGATCCTCGATGCTTTCCTCGGGCTCGCTGAGGCTGCTCGAGCCGTCGTCGCCCGAGTCGACCATGTCCCCATTGCGAGCGATTTCGGGCCCGGGTTCTCCGTTGGTCGCGTTAGGTGTGCTCGTCGATGGTTGTGGCTGCGGTTGTTCAGACGGAAGGGTCTCGCGTGGGGCACTCCGGGGAGGTGATTGTGGCTCGGGAGACTCGAGCGGTTCGGGAGTGGGAGCTTTGGCGGGGACCATGGAAGGAGTCGAGCAGTCGGTGTCTAGATGCACGAGAGTTGGTTTAGCTTCGCGTCTTGAGCGAGCAAAACGGGCGGCGCGGCAGGCGCCCTCTGGCGGGACGAGATGGGAAGGAGCGCAAACAGTCTCGCCCAACGACAGACGTGGTCGAGCAAGAGACGTGCATTCACGAGTCCTCTAGAGGGCATGGTGACGTGTGGGGGGGTTGAATCTTGGCTTACCGCCAGGCGATGGCACGGAGATGTCTGGGGCCGTCTTGGAGCGGCTCCTGCTGCTTCGTTGTAATGCGCTCATGGTGCGCCGACGTCAGCAGCACACCAAGAGGCTATGGCGGGTGGTCGAGGGTGGTCGCGGGCGGGGAAAGCGTGTGGTGTCAAAATTGGGACGGCGCGGGTGCGAGAAGCGGTGAGCAGGGAGCGGCGGGAGCGGTGCGGGAGTAAGCTCGCGGCGACGGATGGGAAGCGGAGGGGCGCGGTGGTGGAATGAGCAAGCAAGAAGGTAGGCAAAGCGGAGTTGTGGGCAGAGAGTTGGTGGAGCTGTTCGCGGGCCCTGATGCGTGCACCACAGGCGGACTCGGCCGGCAGAAATCAAGTCGCGCCGCGCGCCTTTGAAAAAAGTCCGGCGCCGCATTCATAGTAGATGGTTGGAGTATATACACACCACCAACCATGGCCAAAAAGATCAAGTCCCTCGTCGCCGACACCAAGGCTGTCGACCCCGTCCTCGCATCGCTGTTTGCCCAAAGCGTACGCTGTTCCACCACCCACTCCAACATCTACACCTTTGCTCACTATCTCGCAGGCGGGTCCCATCCAGCCTCGCCCCAAGTCCGTATACGAAGCGCCTGCCCCGAAGACGTCCAAGGCCGACAAGGATGAGGTCAGCGACAATGACGCCGCCGAGGAGGAGGACGACGAGGATCTGTCCAGCATCGACGAGGAGCTAGACGACGAGGAAGCAGAGGAAGAAGATGTTGAAGCAAGCGACGAGGAAATGGCCGACGCAGACGCGCCAGAGGCCGAGTCAGAACCCGCAGAATCGGCGCCTGTCGAGTCGCAGCGCAAGCGCAAGAGGAAGGGCGCCGAGGAAGAGCTCGAAGACAAATATATGCGCAAGCTGGCCAAGGAAGAGGCCAAAGAGGAGGTCAAAATGAAGGCCGAGAGGAACACGAAGCGCCAGAAGATGGGAGACGGAGAGGCCTCTGACGCGTCCTCGGACGTCGAGGCAGCAAACGGCGAGGACGCAGACTCGGACGCAGACTCGGACTTTGAGGCGCCGAAACACGAGTCGCTGGCGAAGGCCGAGAAGAAGGAGGACACCGAGTTTGACAAGGCCGCGCGGACCGTCTTCCTGGGCAACGTGTCGACCGAGGCCATCTCGTCCAAGTCGGCCAAGAAGACGCTGTTGGCGCACATGTCGTCCTTCCTCTCGGAGCTGCCCGCCAGCACGCCGCCGCACAAGGTCGAGTCGCTGCGCTTCCGGTCGACGGCCTACTCGACCAACATCCCCAAAAAGGGCGCCTACGCCAGGAAGGAGCTCATGGACGCGACGACCAAGAGCACCAACGCCTACGTCGTCTACACGACGCAGCAGGCCGCGCGCGAGGCACAACGCCGCCTCAACGGCACCGTCGTGCTCGCCCGCCACCTGCGCGTCGACTCGGTTGCGCACCCGGCAAAGGCCGACCACCGCCGCTGCGTCTTCGTCGGCAACCTTGGCTTCGTCGACGACGAGAGCCTGGTCCAGCAGGCCGACGCCGACAAGTTCGGCCGCAAGCTCGGCAAGAAGAAGGAGCCCGGCGACGTCGAGGAGGGCCTGTGGCGCCAGTTCGGCCAGGCCGGCACCGTCGAGAGCGTGCGCGTCGTGCGCGACCCGCAGACCAGAGTCGGCAAGGGCTTCGCCTACGTCCAGTTCACTGTATGTATCCCCACCCCCTCCTCAAAAAACAAAACTAACCCTCCACCTCGCAGGACGAAAACGGCGTCGAAGCCGCCCTCCTCTTCAACGAGAAGCGCTTCCCGCCGCTGCTCCCGCGCAAACTGCGCGTCGTGCGCGCCAAAGCCTTCAAGCGCAACCAACAGCGGCGCAACGCGCTGACGTCGACGCGCCCCGCCACGGGCGCCAACAGCAGCTCGGTGTACCAACCGAAGATGACGGCCGAGGAGAAGTCGACGGCCGGGCGCGCAGCCAAGCTGCTCGGCAAAGCCGGCGCCGCCAAAGCGCTCAAGCCGGGCAAGCCCGCTGCTAGCGGCGGCAAGCCCGCTGCCGGTGCCGGTGGCTTCAAGACCCCCGAGAGCTTCGTCTTCGAGGGCCATCGTGCTACGGCTGCGCAGGGCAAGAAGGGCCTGAAGTTCAGTGCGGGCAAGAAGAAGGCGGGCGGTGCGAAGCCGAAGGGTCGGAGCAGCAAACGCGCCGCGGCGTGGAAGGCGTCGGGCGGGAAGAAGGCTTAGTCGTGTGCTTACGTAGACCTAACTTAAAGCCGCGTTGACGCTTGGATAGGGACGTATGTGCTTGGTCAGGCAGCGGGGGAGAGGAACGGATGGACGGAGGAGACGATGGCAAAACGAAGAGGAAGACGACGGGGCAGTTTGCTTCCAGTGGATAGATACCTCATAGCTAAACGCGTAGCCGGCCTGTATGATATAGTTGGTAGCAGACACGGACGGCTGAAATGCAGTGAAGCGAAAGTATCTGTTGGGCCCCACGCATCTCTGTAGAGCTGTTTTGTCCACCCCCCTGGCCGCCTATCAATATAAGTCTACTGCACCTACACACCCACCAAGTACTCTTTCGCTAGTTACAACTACTTTGCTTGTATAACCGGGTAGTGCTGGATAGCTATACTTACCGTGTAGAGAATAGACGAAGGAAGGAGTTACATACGCACGAAGATAAAAACTCACGTAAGTGCGAGTTGGTCGAGTGAGTTCTCCTAAAGCACGAGAGCGCAGTAACCCTAAAGCCACAGATATAAGAAGACGAAAGCGCAAAAAAAAAAAAAAAAAAAAAAAAAAAAAAACGAAAAAACAAGCAAACCCAAACCCAAACCCAAACCCACCCCCACCTAACGGAACAGCACCACAGCCCTCGGCGACCCAAACGGAACCCCCGGCAACGCCGTCACAACCACCGCCACCAAAGCCACGACCAGCAGGACCCCTTCGCTCTGCGTGAACACGCGGAGCTCGCGGAGCAACCCTTCCAGGGCGAAACCAAAGAATATAGCCAGACAGGTGACCGCCATTGCGTGAGCACAGGCCCACATGTGTCGGCGTCTGGCTAGACGGCGCAGGTGGTCTATGTTTGCTGGGTCGACGCCACAGCCGCCTAGTATGACGACGCCGATGTTCGTCTCTTCGTCCATTGCTATGATGCGTGGTGGGTTGTTGGCTCGAATGTCTGTTTCTTCGTTTTGTTAATTGTCGTTTTTTTTTTTTAATTTTTTTTTTATAGAGAGGGAAGGGAATCAAGTACGGCCCGCTGTAGACATCCTTGGCTAGGTTATAGTTTGAAGAGTAAAGCCTCGAATAAGTGCAGATATGTAGACTTGTATAGTAAATACTGTAGGCTGCATGGAAAACGGGTCAAGTCAGAGAGAGAGCGAACTTAAATACATCACTGTGAAAGTGCATGGTACTTACCTTGGTACCGGAGCATGGCTCGCATCTAAATACATGGCTCAGCTCAGCCCAACCAAGCCAGTCTCTACAGTACCACGCCGTTCCTGCTTCCCTCATTCCCCC